CTGCTGTGAGGAGTGCGGCGGGGCTTCGGAGGCCTCGGCCGCCAGTGGCTCGGACAACAAGCTCAAGACCGAGGTGTCCTCTTCCATCTACTTCCACAAGCCCAGGGAGTCACCCCCGCTCCTGCCCCTGGGCACACCTTGCTGAGGCTCCAGCAGGGGTGGGGAGGGAGGGAGAGAGGGGCCGCCACCCCCGCCGGTGTCTGCTGTTCTTTCCCCATAGGTCTTGCTTTGCTGCCTGTCTTGCTGTCTAGAGATGGACTTGGTTCCTCTTGTCAAGGTTTGGGAATGTCAAAGCCCACTCCCCACGCAGGGCCTTTCCTGTCCCTTGTGGGGCCTTCCAACCCTATCCTTTCCACTGGTGGGTGGTGATGCTTCTAGGTCCTTAGAACTGCCCAGAAACTCTGCATCCCAGCAGCTGGGAGCCAGAACTTTGCCTGCCCTCCCTTGGTTGCAGTCTCTCTTCTTGCTCTCTGCCTTGTAACCTGACCATACTTTAGTTGTGCCCTTCCCAGGCATCATCTTCCAACCCCCAACCTGGGGCTCCATCTTGGAATGGGGGCTCCTTGGGGGCTCCAGCTCAATGTGGCTCACCACACTCTTCTTTTTCTTTTCTTTTCTTTTTTTTTTTTGAGACAGAATCTTGCTCTGTTGCCCAGGCTGGAGTACAGTGGCCTGATGTCAGCTCTCTGCAACCTCTGCCTCCTGGGTTCAAGCGATTCTCCTGCCTCAGCCTCCTGAGTAGCTGGGATTACAGGTGTGCACCACCACACCCGGCTGATATTTGTATTTGTAGAAGAGATGGGGTTTCATCATGTTGGCCAGGCTGGCGTCGAACTCCTGACCTCAAATGATCTGCTTACCTTGGCCTCCCAAAGTGCTGGAATTATAGGTGTGAGCTGCCGCGCCCGGCCTCAATACACTCTTCTCTGGACCGGATCTGTCCCAGCCCTGGATGCCTCCTCCTACTGGTGCCTTCTTTTCTTCCAGAGGATTTCTCTCTCCTTCCTCCTCCTTTCTTTGGGATCCCCTGGTTGCCCTATCCCACTCTCCCTGTTAGGTGCTTTCCCATAGGAGGCCCTTCCTGAGAAACAATAAACTAGGTAGAACTACCCCTACACCCATCCACTTTCTTGTGCCACATTCTGGCAGGGCCCAGATGCACCTGGGCCTTCCTGGCCTGGCAATGCCTAGGGGAATTTCTGCTGACCTGGCCTGGCCTGTGGCTGATGTTCAGAACAGCCCTGTGGCTCTGGGGACTCCAAGGGTTTTATGGCTTTTGAGGGACAGAGAGGATGGAGGGCTCGGGGAGCCGGGAGACCTAAGTCCTCATCCTGGTCTAAACCCCATGCTGCTTGGGAAGTCAAAAGCCTGGAAAATCTCTCTCCTGGAGCCCTCGTCTCTGCTATGCCCTCTCTCCACAAAGCCCCCCTTGGAGGGAGGCCAGTGCTCTTTCCTCTGTGAGCCCCAGGACTTCCCAACCTTTGTCACTCTGAGAGCTGCTCTTGTTCAGTTTCTTAGAATGGACTGTTTTGCCTGTAGACGGCCCAGCTGCCTGCCCCGGCCTGCCCCGGCCCAGCCCCCACTGCACCACCCTTCCCGCCAGAGCTCCCACTGCCCCCAGCAGATGCTTCATGCAGCTCCTCCTGTGGGGTCTTGCCCTTGAAGTCCCACTTCCCCCAGCCCCACCTCTGGGCCCTTCCAGAGGGCACCATTAGCCTTGTGGGTCCCTGGGAAGCTGGCACAGCATCAAACAGAAGTGATGCCTCAGCCAGGCTGCCAATCACTCCCTGCCTGGGAGCTCAGCTTTCCTCAGAACCGCCGCCCCTGTCTGAAGCTCTGTCCTGGGTCCCGCCAGACTTCTGCCCACCAGGCCTACCTAGAACTTCCACACGAGGCCTCAGGAAGGGTCCCGGGGGCCCAGGGACGGGCAGAGGCAGGGGTTCCGAGCACCCGGGGCTCCATTCTCCTCTGTCCACCCACCCACACTCCTTGGCCTCAGCCTGCCCTGTACCCAAGCTTCCCTCCCCCTCTCCTGGGGATCTTAACGGCCTTGTTCTCTCTCCCTGGCACCCACCCCCAGGGCGGGTGATGCCGCCAAGAGAGAGGGAGGCCGTTGCTAGGTGATGGCGCCGCCATGCGCACACCCTTTGTGCTGGGGAGTGACACCCACCCATTTCTCAGCAGACCTGTTGCCACGGTGACTGAAGTCCCCAGCTCTGTCTGTAGAAACTTCAGATGGCTGGGGGAGCAGGTTGGAGAGAGGACCAAAGGCAGGCCTGTCACGCTGAAGCTCCTAGGGACCATTTCCTCCCCATTTCCCCAACTCCTTCTCCACCCCCCGCCAGGCCTGGAGGCACCACCAGCTTCCTAAGGGATGCAGGAAGGGGCCGGGTGAACTGAGGTGAAGTCCAGGGCAGGGGAGGCAGACCCCTCAACATCCTGTTTAGGAGTCCTCCTCCACAAAGGGTGCCCTCCGCCTCTCCCTCCTGCTGGTTGGTCGACTCAGAGATGAAGGGGGAGAGATCGTGGCTCCAAGGCTCTGCCACTGCCACCTCCCAGGCCTGCCAATGTGAATGGCTTGCAGAATCAGTCAGCAGGCCAGCAGTCTTGGGAAAGAGCCACTGTCCCCGCAGCCTGGGCCAGCTGGGGGAACAATGTAGGGTTTGTTGCTTCGGGGTCCTAGGCTTGCGGGGGGGGGTTGGCACATGGTGGGCGGTGGACTTGAGCTGGGATGCTCTGAGATGCCACTGACATGCTTGCTCACCCAAGGGCAGACTTCAGACCAGCCCTCAGATCCTGATGCCAGGTTACGGGGATGAGGGGAGCCTGAAATCCACTGCGTCTCCCTGCTCCACTTGGGAGTCTCCTTCTCATCACTTATCCTGGAACCTGAGTGCAATTACTTAAACCTAGTCTCAGCTTCCTCATCTGCAAAATGGGAATAATCTGTCCTTCACAGAGGAGTATGGTCATTTAATGAGATAAGATACATAAAGCACTTTGCATAGTGCCCCAAACCTTTTATTCCTTCCTCCCCTTTGGGAATTCAATTCTCCAGTGTGATGGAGCAAGCTTGGCCAGGGGATTCTTAAATGCATCCAGGTTTTGGCATCAAAGGGCCCCAAACATGACAAATTACCTATACTCATGGTCTGTTCCCTGTTCACCTTTAATAGGTTGTGTGTGTGTGTGTTTTTTTTTTTTTTTAAGAGTTGGGGGGGTCTTACTATGTTGCCCAGGCTGGCTTTGAACTCCTGGGCTCAAGCAGTCTTCCTGCCTCAGCCTCCTGAGTAGCTGGGACTACAGGTGTGTACCACCATGCCTGGCTGAACACTTATTTTTTGAAACAGGAGCTCACTCTGTCACTCAAGCTGAGTGCTGTGGTGTGATCATAGCTCATTACAGCCTCTGTTTCCTGGGCTCACACAATTCTCCTGCCTCAGCTTCCTGAGTAGCTGGGACTGCAGGTGTGCACTACCACGCCTGGCTAATTTTTGATTACTTGTAGAGATAGGGTCTCACTATTTTGTTCAGGCTGGTCTCAAACTCCCGGACTCAAGTGATTCTCCTACCTTGGGCTCCCAAAGTGCTGGGATTACAGGTATGAACCACTGCACCTGGCCCTTGAACAAATTCTTTAAGTCTTATTAGTACCTGCTGCATGCCGGCACTCTGGAAGGAGGATGCTCGCTTGCTTCCTGGTAACCAGGTGTCTTATCTCAAACCTCAGTCCTCACTGAGGATCACAGGATCTAGAAAGGCACCTCGGCCTGGAAACAGCCCCAGATGAGTGAGATTGCTGGTCCTCTCCCAGGATCCCAGGCCCAGGGCAAACCCAGACAAGCTTGCAGCCAGGAGAGGGCAGGGGACAGAGCCCTGGCCCCCCTTCAACCTCCTTAGCCAAGAGGGCATGTCCCATTTTCCTTAGGAGTTGGGAAGTACCCTAGAATCACTTAGCTTCAGATGCCAAATTCCATCCACATTCTTTCCTCCAACTCTCCAGCAGTGGGGAACTGCCTCTCCAGGCAGGGCACTGCTCTGACAGGTCTGATGACTGCCTCCAGGAGGAAGCTCTGGGCACCAATGAAGGTGAGGGACTGGGGGGCCCAGGATGAGGAGTCAAGATCCCCACTCCCAGGACTACGGGACAATTTGGCTCCTTTTTCCTGCAGTGGGAGGGGTGAGAAGGGCTGGGGTGTTCTGCAGGGGCCTGCTCCATTTTCCAGGGTGAAGGAGAGGCCGAGGGAGGTGGAGCGGGAGGAGGTGGGGCTTACTGTGAAACTGGGTCAAGATGGCCTCGGATTTGAGCAGGCAGGGCCACCAGGCTCTGAGGCAGCAGCTGTGAGCAGTGCCGAGGGAGGACCAGTCTGACGGTGAACGGTGAGGTGGTGGGCGGGGGGGCCGACTAGAATCAGGCAGAGGAGCGAGGGCAGGCCTCCTACCAGGAAACCCATAGCATTGGCACTAACTGAGAGGCAGCAAAGGCGGTGACACTCCCCCAGGCTCTGTGGGCCCAGCCCTACCCCTGGAGCACAGTTAACTGGTTCTGGGGTAGGAACTGGGGGCCAGAAGGACAGGGTGCTGGTTCTGGCTCAACCTTGGCTGCCGGTGAGATCCAGGGCCTGGGAAAGAGGGGCTGAGGCCTGAACTGGGCCTAAGGAGAGCGCAGCTCAGTTCGCACACAAAACAGCACCCAGCCCTGTCCCTTGCCACCTCTACCCAGTCCTGGGCAGTTCCCTCAACAGAGCTTTGCAGCCCCACGTGGCAGCTGCTGGCTCAAAGCTGGCTACATGAAAGTCTGAAAAGAGAATGAGAAGGAGGTGGCGCAAGAGCCTGGACGCACGTGTGGGAGGCCGTTTTGTGCAGCGCCATTGTGCTCCCCGGGCGGGCACGTGCTCGCGCTCCGTGGCTCTGTTGGTGCCCAGTGTGCAGGGGTGTGCTGGTGGCCCTGTGGCAACCCATGCCAACTGCGGAGAAGTAACCGGCACCATACACCCCCCCAACACAAAACTGGTCATTTATTTTTGTTGTTGTCATTGTTATTAGGAGGCAAAAAAATGTACAGTTACAAGAATCATTTTCCAAACAGAGGTTAAATATGAGCTGAAAAGTGTAAAAAAGGAAGAGGAACATCACTTTACAAATCATTAAATTAAACAAATAAACAAACAGAACCCAAAGAACCAACCCCCCATGCTGAGTTCTCTCCTTGTGCAACTCTGCAAAATGAGAACAGAAAATGAAGTGGGCCGTGGAGGTGGGGGCCCTGGGGAGGGGCGGGAGCTGGGAGCCAGGAGCAGGCAGGAGGGGGCTGCTGGGGCATGGATGCTGGCTTTCTGCCCCGTGCACCTGGTGGTTTCTGGTACCTGGTCGTACCTGGTGGCTCTACCCAGGCTGGGGACTGAGGGGAGGGGCCCCCGGAGGCCCCTGCTAGCCTGTGGGGTTCAAGCACTGCCAGGACAAGCCAGACTGGGCGGTGGAAACACACGGGACAGGGGGGCGGCCACCAGTGCCCAGGCTGGTACCTGCCGCAGGTGCCAGTCTCCACCTCTCCTGATCTGAACTTGCCCCAAGTCCACCTGCGTCTCCCTCCTTTTCTCCAGACTCTGCCCCCTCCCAGGTCCTGAAAGGGATGCCCTGCAGCATCAAATGGTTGATTTTAGTCTTTGCTTAAATTAAAAAATTAAAATATATATACATATATATACTGTACACACAGGACGATAACAGAGAGTGTTGAAAAGGGAGGTGCAGGAGTGGGCCAGGGAAAAGCCAGGGGCGGGGGCTGTGGCCCAGGGTTGTTGGGAGGGAGGCAGGGCTGGGTGATGGGACAAAGGCAGCGGGGAAGGGTGAGAAGTTAGGGGACCAGAATGGGGGGCAATGTATTTTACAATAAAAACAGGAGTTCAAACCTCAGCAGAACAGGACTCTGGGGTCCCCAGAGGGCCCTCCTCACACTGGGTGAGGAGGGGTGGGCTTAGGGGGACGACGGGGGGGGGGCGGGGAGCTCGGCTTCAGGTTTAGATGACGACGGTCCCTGGTCTGAGGGAGAAGGGCTGGAGTCTCAGCTTCTCCGTGACTTTGAGTGTTGAATAAGCCACTGTAGGGTGATGTCTGAGAGGCGAAAAGAGAACAGCTTATAAGGCCTGCAAGTGCTGGCCATGCTGGGGCAGCAGAGGCCTAAGAAACCAAACCTAAGGGTATCACAAGTCCAGAGGTGCCAGGAGGGATGGCGCACACTTGGAGTCCCAGCTACGTGGGACGCTCAGGTGGGAGGATTGCTGGAACCCAGGAGTGGAGTTGGAGGCTGCAGTGAGCTATGATCACTCCACGGAACTCCAGCCTGGGTGACAGAGCGAGACACTTTCTCAAAAACAAACAAACAAGAAGTCCAGAGCTGGCAAGCGCCACACGGCCCTGAACAAGTAGTAGCGGAATCCAGGTGCTGGGAAAGAGACAGAGCCACAGCATGTCAGAGCCAGCAGGGACCTGAGAATCACAGGGTCCAGCCCTGGAATCTTAGAAGTGAGGCGGTGAAGCCCAGAGCAGGGATCGATTTCAACCCCAAGATCATACAACCACTTGGGGACGAGCTGGGACAGTGCCCAGAATCTGGGCCGCCCGGCTGCCTTTTCTACCCAAGAGCCACAGAGCTTTGGACTTAAAGGAAAGTTGTGGAGCGAGAACCTTTGAGAGCCACTAAAACACCCAGAAATGCCTCTCCCCTCTCCTCCCCTTTCCCCAATCCTACGCACCAATGTTGTCCTTTTCTTTGCAGGAGATGGAGTAGCAGCAGATCTCTCGGTCCTGGATGGCAGACAGATTCCTGGGGGAAACCAGAGTAGAGTCCACTGAGGCTACGCACATCCAGGGGGCCTGGGACTAGGGGACAGCAGGGCCTTTTTCTTAAGAGGCTACAATGGGGAGGGTGAGGTGCCTGAAAAGGTGGGCTCTGCTGCCACCGTGTGGCTAATACTAAGAACAGCAGCAAGCCTAGGCTGTTGGACTGGTGGCTGGGGAATTGGGAGAGCAGAAAGTAATATAAAGAGCCACCCAACTCACATTTTCTCAATCAGCTCCTTCTCATCCAATGCTCCCGGAAGGTCTCGCTTGTTACCCAGGACTAAGACCTATGGAGAAGCGAGGGTGAGGATGAGGTCTAGGGCAGCTGTGCCCAGGTTGTCTGGGTGGTGAGCTGGCCTCCTGGGTCCCGTTTCCTCTCTGCGCCCCTACTATGCCTGGCTTTTACCTGCCCCCAGTGACTTCCCAGCCGAGCTCCCTCCCCATCCCGCTCCCACAGGTCTGCTGACCGGGATGCCCTGCAGCTGAGGTTTGTCCAGTAGGTTGTGGAGCTCGTTCTTAGAGGCCTCAATCTTCTCCTGGTCAGCAGCATCCACCATGTACCTGGGGAAAAGGGCAGGGTGGGGACAAGCATGTTGACACCACAGGCTGGGGTGGTGCAAGGAAGAGAAGGAGCTGCTGCTTGGAGGCCAAAGCATCTGTTGCAGCTTGGTCACTTCAGGATCCATGGGCTACCTGGCCTGGCTCAAGGCAGGTGCTCTTCGGATGTTTTCTGAGTCTATGGGAGTGAACAGCTGCGGGGAATCCTGGGGCCTGCCATTAGCCTCCAAGTGCTACTCTGGGGAAGCCATTACTCATGTGGAAAAGCATGGGCCCTCTGGAATTAGCTGTAAGACCCTCTCAAAGTGACCCACTTATGTTTTCATGGAAAGACTAAATAAGGTTAGAGTGAAAAAAGCAAAGGAAACCTTAGAAGATTTCTTTTAGCAAGATACTTTTTGTTATCAGGTTAAAAAGCAACCTATTGTTTATTCTAAACAATCTATTGTTTGGGCATATATATGTAATACATTTTATTATTATTATTAATATCATTTTTGAGATGGAGTCTCACTCTGTTGCCAGGCTGGAGTGCAGTGGTGCAATCTCAGCTCACTGCCACCTCCGCCTGCCAGGTTCAAGCGATTCTCCTGCCTCAACCTCCCAAGTAGCTGGGACTACAGGCGCATGCCGCCACGCATGGCTAATTTTTTCTATTTTCAGTGGAGATGGGGTTTCACCATGTTAGCCAGGATGGCCTCGATCTCCTGACCTTGTGATCCACCCGCCTTGGGCTCCCAAAGTGCTGGGATTACAGGTGTGAGCCACCGCACCCGGCCTATTAGTTTTTGAGACAGGGTCTCACTCTGTCATCCAGGGTTGAGTGCAGTGGTGCAATTACAGCTCATTGCAGCCTCAGCTTCCCGGACTCAAGAGATCCTCCCGCCTCAGTCGTCTGAGTAGGTGGGACTACAGGTGCGTGCCACCAGGCTCAGCTAATTTTTGTACTTTTGTAGATATAGGGTTGCGCCATGTTACCCAGGTTGGTTTTGAACTTCTGATCTCAAGTGATCTGCCTGCCTTGGCCTCCCACTGTGCCCTGCCATTTTTCAATGTTTAAAATTTATTTTATTTTATTTTTTTAAAGACAGGATCTTGCTATGTTGCCTAGGCTGGCCAACTCCTGGGCTCAAGCAATCTTCCTGCCTTAGCCTCCCAAGTAGCTGGGATTACAGGTGTATGGCACCATGCTCAGCCAGAAAAACATTATTTTTAAAAAGCAAGAGAGGGCTGGGCGCAGCGGTTTATGCATGCAATTTGGGAGGCCGAGATGGGCAGATCACCTGAGGTCGGGAGTTCGAGACCAGCCTAACCAACATGGAGAAACCCCGTCTCTATGAAAAACACAAAATTAGCTAGGCGTGATGGAGTATGCCTGTAATCCCAGCTACTCAGGAGGCTGAGGCAGGAGAATTGCTTGAACCTGGGAGGCAGGAGGTTGCAGTGAGCCAAGATCACGCCATTGCACTCCAGCCTGGGCAACAAGAGCAAAACTCCATCTCAAAAAAAAAAAAAAAAAAAAAAAAGAATCATTTAAATCACACAAAATTCAAGACAGTGGTGACTTGGGTTGAGGGGAGGGAGACAGTTAATGAAGAGAACGCACAGGTGTCTGTTTCTTAGATTGGGTAGTGAGTGCTCAGGGCATTTATCCAATAAGAAACGAGCAGCATGCAAAATAAAGGCAGGCCACGGACCGACACTGTGTCATGAACTGAGGATTATGTCTAATACAACCCTGCGCCTCTGAGGTCCTCGAAGGTAGCAGGGCTAGGGGAGCCAGGTAAGGCTGGAGTCTGGGGATGCCTCCCGTGTACTTACACGATGGCGCTCACTCCTCGGCAGTAGCGCTCCCACATGCTGCGGAAACGCGGCTGTCCCCCAATGTCCCAGAGCTGAGCAAGAAGCGGGTGAGATAGCCTCAGTAGTGGGCAGGCCACCAAAATGGTCTCAAATGCCCCCTCCTACCCTGCCCTACTCTCCTCTGCCTCCCCGGCTTTCTCTCCAGTTCTCCCCCCTCTCCACCCACCTCTCCGTCTACCTTAGAAGTCTTCTACCGTCTTTTCCCAGCTCCTCAGCAGGGGGACCCTGGCCTCTGCCCCACTTGAGCTCGCTCCTCCCAGGGGCCTCCATTGCCCTCCCCAACACACACACACAGAGTCCTCTGCACCCCCTAACTTCCGAGCCCTCACCTTGATAGTCACATTCCCTTTGGTGATTTTGCGCATGTTGAAACCCACGGTGGGGATCATGTCCTCGTTGAACTGTCCTGACTGGAAAGAAGACTCAGAATGGGAAACGGTGCAAAAATCGACATGTCCTGGCCACAGACCAAGAGGCTGCAAGAACCATGCAGAGGCCAGGCCAGAGCGTCCTAGGCTTCCCACCGTGGGGTACTCTTGCATGTCCCGTGCTTTTAGGCAGGATGGGCTATCACCAACCTATGTGTCCCGCCTACACTCGGGGATGCCCTGTGAAGAGACCCACTTTTATCAGTCTCTCTCTCTCTGCCTAGACTAGGGGAAAATTCTTCCTCAAGTCTAACCTACATCTCTCTGTAGTAACTGATGCTACTTTCTCTCCAGTGGAGAGGAGGAAGAAATTACCTCCCAGGAAGAGAACTTGAGGCAAGTCATGTTCTAACAGTTAAGGAGGATCTCAAGAAAGCAGACGCATTTTCCAACCAAAAAAGTCAAACTTTCTGGGGCAGAGTATATTGGTCTTCCTGAAAATGCAGCGCACGCCAAGCAATTTCGGGATTATCCATGGTTGGGTTTATTTGTACTGTACTCCAGTTGTTGGGAAGGATAACCCACACTATATTGTCTGCTTACTGATGTATGTGTCTCCTCACTAGAAGGAACACTTCCTGGGAGAGGACCCCCATTAGTAAATGTTTGCTGAATACTGGGGGGTTGACTATAATTCCATTTTCCAAAATCCATTCTGTATTGTCTCTAAGATTTCTGGATTCTTCTAAACCACTTGCAAGCTTCAAATAAGGCCAGACCCAACTCCCTCTCAGGTCATATCTCCATGTTCACGGGTAGGACACTTCTGCTTATCCCCTGGGCTAAAGAGATGGGGCTCAGCCGGGTGCAGTGGCTCACACCTGTAATCCCAGCACTTTGGGAGACTGAGGGAGTGGATCACGAAGTCAGGAGTTCGAGACCAGCATGGCCAACATGGTGAAACCCCGTCTCTACTAAAAATACAAAAAAATTAGCTGGGCGTGGTGGCACGTGCCTGTAATCCCAGCTACCTGGGAGGCTGAGGTGGGAGAATCACTTGAACCCAGGAGGCAGAGGTTGCAGTGAGCTGAGATCATGCCATTGCACTCTAGCCTGGGTGACAGAGCAAGACTCTGGCTCAAGAAAAAAAAAAAAAAAGAGATGGGGCTCACTCAACTTTGAACCTGAGGGTGATAGCCCTGTTCCTTTTCTTTTTTTTTTTGAGACAGTCTCACTCTATCGCCTAGGCTGGAGTGCAATGATGCAATCTCAGCTCACTGCAGCCTCTGCCTTCTGGGCTCAAGCGAGTCTCCTGCCTCAGCCTCCCCAGTAGCTGAGACCACAGGCATGTACCACTACACCCAGCTAATTTTTGTATTTTTAGTAGAGACAGGGTTTCACCACATTGGCCAGGATAGTCTTAAACTCCTGACCTCAAGTGACCCACCTACCTGGGCCTCCCAAAGTGCTGGGATTACAGGGGTGAGCCACAGTGCCCAGTCAAGCCCTGTTCCTTTACCAATGCCCTTTTCTCCCACCAGCTGGCAGGAATAATTTGCCTTGGGTTACATGAAGAAATCAGGGGCCCTGACCATTAGCCAAGATGTAGATGATTGGCTCTTATTTCATGCCTCCAAGTCCACATGAAGACCCCTGATAAGAGTGCTTCGATTCCTCCCCCACCCCCTCTTTTTTTTTTTTTTTTGAGACAGAGTCTCACTCTCTAGCCCAGGCAGGAGTGCAATGGCGGATCTCGGCTCACCATAGCCTCTGCCTCCTGGGTTCAAGCAGTCCTGCCTCAGCCTCCTGAGTAGCTGCAACTACAGGCGCGCACCACCACGCCTGGCTTTTTTTTTTTTTTTTTTTTTAATTTTTAGTAGATACAGGGTTTCACCATGTTGGCCAGGATGGTCTCGATCTCCTGACCTCATGATCTGCCCGCCTCGGCCTCCCACAGTGCTGGGATTATAGGCGTGAGCCACTGCGCCCGGCCCGATTCTCTTTTATCTGCAGGAACCACCCATTCGTCAGGGCCCTAGGATGATGTAAGAACGGAGTACCCAGGACTGACACCCAATGACAAGGTCCAGCAGTGGTTTCCAACCTGAGGCCCACAGTTGGGCTTCAGAGATCCCCTGAACCCCCTGAAATTGTACACCATCTGTGTGTGTGTGTGCAAAGTTTTGTTTGTATGTACATTTTTCTGGAGAAACGATCTCTAACTCCTCTCAGATATCAAAAAGGTCTGAGAGCCCCAAAGGTAGGAATCACTGAGGAAGAGGAAATGGCTTCTTCTGGCTAAGCAGGGAGAATTAAGTGTGCTGAAATTACCCAAACCCCAGCAGCATGCTGCAGTCTACCCCATCCCCATCCACAGAGTCTGAGGAAGGAGGCCCAGTTCTTGTTTATCTCTCATCCCAGGAGTGCTTGGATAAGAAACTTGAACTTCTCTGGATCTCAGGGTTTCTGAATGTAAAATTGGGGAGAAGGGTTTCGGTCTCTTAGGAACTGTAAATAAGACTCACAACGTGCTTCGAAATGGTTTCTATATAGCATGGAAAACCATCACTGCTCTTTGACAACTAGAAGATCCACAGGCTACCAAGTAAATGAGAAGCCCAGCCTGGCAGAATGTGACCTTAGCAGAGAGGGATGCTAGGAGGGCCTTCAAGGAGCCAGGCTCCCCAGCACCAGTAGGTCCTATTCAGCTGTGAATTGGAGATAAGGTGGAATCAGATTATGACTTAATTTTGCTGCGAATGCCTCCCTGTCTCATAGCTCTTTATTTAAGGTTGGAACTAACCTGAAGTCATGCAGCCCAATCTCTTGTCTCAGACTTCAATCCCTTCTGCCCCATCCCCTCTTGGGTCAGTTCCAACTATCAGAAAGTTGTTTATATTGAGTTAAAAATCTGGCTGGACATGGTGGCTCATACCTGTAATCCCAGCACTTTGGGATGCTGAGGCGGGCAGATCACCTGAGGTCAGGAGTTTGAGACCAGCCTAGCCAACATGACAAAACCCCATCTCTACTAAAAATACAAAAATTAGCCAGGCGTGGTGGTGTATGCCTGTAATCCCAGCTACTTGGGAGACTGAGACAGGAGAATTGCTTGAGCCTGGGAGGTGGAGGTTGCAGTGAGCCGAGTTTGCACCACTGTACTCCCAGCCTGGGCGATAGAGTGAGACTCTGTCTCAAAAAGAAAAAAAAAAAAGAAAAGGAGAAAAAAAAAATCTATCATTCCTAGAATGTCCACCCATTGTTCCTAAGTCCCCTTGGGCACTCCAAGACTAGTTAATCCATAGGACAGTCTTTGACACTTTTATTGAAAATGTGTTTCCTAGGGCAAAACACCTCCCACTTTTCTAGCATCACAACTTTTTCAGAACTCAAAGGATGTTTTAGGTTCTTTGTTTTCGGCCTCCCAAATTGCTGGGATTACAGGCGTAAGCCACCACGCCTGGCCGATGTTTTAGGTATGTAGAAGCATTGTATATAATTTCTTTCCAGCTCATATTAACCTGCTGAGCAGCTAGACACACTAAACTCAATTTCTATTTACAGCTAGACCTCATAGGGTGAGTAGAAAAAACCCAATGCCAAAAGATCTGAGACAAACAGAGGCCAAATGAACAGGCAAAGGTAATTCAGAAATCCAGTGGTAGGCACAGGAACAGAGCACAGGGCTCCCAACTCTTTGTTTCTTACTGGAAGACACTCAACTGTGATTATACACGGGGTGGGCAGAAATGCCAGTGTGGTAGCCCCAGAGGAGCTAAAAATGCTGGAGTGACCAGGACACTGGAATTCCAACTGCAGCCCACACGGGGTGGTTTTCCTTGGGAAGCCTCTTTAAAGAAGGGAATTTAGCTTGCCTGCTCTTTTAGATGTGGCAGCGGAAGTGGCAAATTTAAGATAAAAAAGGGGACCATGTGGGCTGCAGATGGGGGACTTTTCCTGTACATCACAGAAACTCTTGACCCTGGCATGGGAATTTGGGACTCTTGGGTTCTGTTTCTGGTCTGCTATAGTCTCCAACTCTCTGGATACGATGCTGGTCTAGAGGGGGCCCTCCTGTCAAAGGCTCAACTGCAGACCCAGAAACCGAACCCACCTGGGTACCTGTAGATCCCTGTCCCAGAGCACAGCTGTAGTAACACCCTGGGGAATAAGGAGATACCTAGGCCCAGCTGCATTTCTCACACCTAAACGCCTAGAAGCCAAGCCACCTAGGCCTGCAGAGTCAGGTCAGAGTCCAGGTGTTGTGTGCCTGCTCTGGGAATCCAAGAGCCTAAGTCAATGCCAACTTTAACCAGAGGGTCTCTGACCCAAAGGGCAGAGCCTAGGCAGACAGAGCCCAGGGGCGTTAGCTCCGAAAATTACTGTGTCAAAACCGCAGCATGGGCCTGAAGATCTTGCCCTGTCAGATCAGGAGACAGGAGACAGGAGACACTGGGTCGAGGAAGGGCAGAGGTCATTTGCAGAGCATGTTTGGGAAAGGAAGCCAGTGTTCAATCAGGGTGCCCGCCCCTTGAGCCTTCCATCTGCCTTCATGCCTCAGGTCCAATGAAGTGACATCCCCTGCCTTCTGGGATGCTGAGAACTGTCCGGGAGGCCCATCTTCTGCAAGGCAGGGCAACAACATGACAGGTGGAGGTACCGAGGCTGGCTGGACACATTCCTCTGCTGACCTATCTCATCAGCATCTTTGGTCACTATCTGGCCAACTCACAGTTGTTGGAAACCTCAGCTTTGGGACTGGGGCCAGGTCCCTGGACAACCCCAGTCCCTGTCCCACACTTCCTCGACCCACAAGCCCTGTCTAGCCTAGCTCTGACAGGCAGGCCGCAGCCATTACTGCAGCCTCAGCTCACACCCATGGAACTCATCTTCCCCTTTTTTTGAGAGAGATTTTAACTCCTTCCCCACCACTCCCCTGGCACTGAAAGACTTACAATCACCCACTTCAGTGTTGACTACCCAAAGCCCTTAGAGCCACTCTCCCAAGGCCCCAGCGGGCAGTGCCCCTGCACCTCATCCTCTCTTGTCCGGAGCACCTCCTCCTGCAACTTCTGAGCCAGACGGAGTCTCCAAACTCCGGTTACCATGCCATCCTCCCTGGACCCCCAGCTAGACACTGCGGGTCGGGGAGAGGTTGGGGAGGAGTCTGGGCTTGAGCCAAGGGCCTCAGCTGAGTTCTCTACCCCCGGGGGATACCTCCCCTCCCCCTCAATAGGGCCGGGGCTTCCGGTTCCGGCAAAGAGGGGTTAAGCCCTCTGGGTGGGGCTGGGCTTGCTCAGACCCCCGCCCCAAGCCTGTCGGCCGTCCTGTCCCGTGACCCTCTACCCGCGGGACAGGAAGGCCCGGGCACTTTCGCTCCGTCATGCCCCCTTGCGCGGGGGCCAGAGGGGGCCCGTCTCAGCCGGCAGCTGGTCCCTCCTGCCTCGAGAGCCCCTCGGTGCCGCCTGCCCCGTGGCACCGGCCCTGTCTGTTAGTCCCCCTTCCCTTGCCCCCAGCCGTGCAGTACCGGCCCGGGTGGGAGAGCGGGTCGCGCGCCGCTCCGGTCCCCCACGGCACGGGCCGTACTAGGCCCCAAGCACTCGGGGCCAGCTCCTCCCCCGCCCGGCGCCCGGCCGTGCCCGGCCATGCCAGGCGGCGACCCCGGTTCAGCAGGGCGCGGCGCGGGCGGGGACAGGCCCGACCCGCGGCCCGCTCCCGGGGACCCCGCACCCGACGCCCTCGTACCGCGATCACGTTGACGAAGGTGGTCTTGCCCGAGTACTGAAGCCCGACCAGCGTGAGCTCCATCTCCTCCTTCCAGAATAGGGCCTTGAACCAGTCCAGCAGCTTGTTGAACAAAGCGATCATGGTCGCTGCCGCCGGCCCCGCCCGGTGTCGGGTCCCCTCCGCCCCTCGCTGCCCTCGCGCTGCGGCCCGGAGCGGCCCCTCCCCGGTACGGCCCGGGTCCCGCGGCTCGGTGCGGGCGGAGGCTCGAGCGCGGCGGCCGACGACTCGCTGCCCCGGAATCGGCTCGCCGATGGGTGTGGCTTCAGCGCCCTCCTCCTCCTCCGCCGCCGCCGCCCTGCGCGGCCGGGCCGTGTCCTGCTCGCACCCGAGCGCGCGCTCCTCCCTCGCCGGAGCCAGGGACCAGGGGCGGCACCCGCAGGTGGGGTGAGCAGGGAACCCGCAGGCTTCAGGGGAGGGGGTTGACTGGCAGTTGGCGTCGAGAGGCGCTTAGGAAATGGGGTCTAATTTATTTTAGACGCTGTCCCCCACCGCCGCGCCCTGACTGGCACCCCCTTTCTTAAAGGGTGGTGGGCTCGAGGTGGGTGAAGTCCCGGTTAAGCAGGAGCCTTTCCAGGTTGAAGGAGAGTGTGTCACTCACTTTCCAGGACACGAAGATGAGATCTCTATGACAGGGAGGCAAATGGAGGCTTTTTTGTTCCTGAACCCTTGCCTCTGAGCATCCCTGGGTAGAGTCCCATCCTCTCAAAATGCTCCCAGCGCAGAGGGACAACCGTATTCGGGCCTTTTCATACTCCATCTTGTTTTGTTCACCACAATTTACCCCGACCACTTGTTAGGAAGCCTCTGGCCCCAAGTGAAACGGACGCTTGAAGTTGCTCCCGATTTTTACCAGCATCCCCAAGATACCGAAGCAGATACAGTCCTGGCAGGGGGCTTCCAGTGAGGAACATCTGTGACAAAGGCAAATGTTGCCCTGTTTTGGTGAAAAGCAGAGTATTCTTCAGGAGGAGAAGTGATAGTTCTCCTGAAGTGGGTGTGGAGTGCCTGCAAAGCTGCCTCACTCCTGCCCGCTTCCTTGCAGGACCCACCCGTAGGGCCTGCTCAGGCAGGCTGACAACCCCAGCTGACCCTCTGGGTAGGCCCAGGCTTCGGGCAGTCCCCAGCCTCTGCTGGCTGCCCGTTGGGATTTGGTTTTCAAATGTAGTCGTATGTAGTCTATTGTTTTAGTCAAAAGTGGATAAACTATCAATATCAACCATATCTGTCCAATCGACCGGAGTTAGATGACCCCAAATAGTCAAAAAGTTACCAAAGTAGAAGAATCACAAGGTTTGGGCTAGAATAATATTCTGGGTTTTTTTTGTTTTATTTTTCTTTTTTTGACAAGAGTCTCACTGTGACACCCAGGCTGGAGTGCATTGGTGAGATCTTGACTCACTGCAGCCTCCACCTCCTCAGGCTCAGGTGATTCTTCCACCTCAGCCTCCTGAGTAGCTGGGACTACAGGCATGCGCCACCATGCCTGCCTAATTTTTGTATATTTTGTAGAGACGGGGTTTTGCCATGTTGTCCAGGCTGTTCTCAAAGCCCTGAGCTCAAGCAATCTGCCTGCCTCAGCCTCCCAAAGTGCTGGGATTACAGGCATGAGCCACTGTGCCTGGCCAATATTCTGGTTTATTGAGCACCATCTTTCTTTTTTTTTTTTTTTTTGAGACGGAGTCTTGCTCTGTCACCCAGGCTGGAGTGCAGTGGCCGGATCTCAGCTCACTGCAAGCTCCTCCTCTCGGGTTCACGCCATTCTCCTGCCTCAGCCTCCCGAGTAGCTGGGACTACAGGCACCCGCCACTTCGCCCGGCTAGTTTTTTGTATTTTTTAGTAGAGACGGGGTTTCACCGTGTTAGCCAGGATGGTCTCGATCTCCTGACCTCGTGATCCGCCCGTCTCGGCCTCCCAAAGTGCTGGGATTACAGGCTTGAGCCACCGCGCCCGGCCTAAGCACCATCTTTCTAACCTCTGCCCTTTATAAGTCCCCCTCTAGCTCCTAAGATAAAGGCTATGGACTGAATGTTGATGTCCTCCAAAATTCATAGGTGGAAGTCCTAACCCCTAAGGTGATGGTGTTAGGAGGTGATTTAAGTCATGAGGGTGGGGCCTTATAAAGGGGCGGGTGGGGTTGGGGGGAAGAACACCAGCCCACAACCTTTTCACCATGCAAGGACAGAAAGAAAGCTCTGCCTAAGGCTGGGCCCAGTGGCTCACGCCTGTAATCCCAGCACTTTGGGAGGCCGAGGCGGGCGGATCACGAGGTCAGGAGATCGAGACTATCCTGGCTAACATGGTGAAACCACATCTCTACTAAAAATATAAAAAAATAGCCGGGCGTGGTGGCGGGTGCCAGTAGTCCCAGCTACTCGGGAGGCTAAGGCAGGAGAATGGCATGAGCCCGGGAGGTGGAGCTTGCAGTGAGCCGAGATGGCGCCACTGCACTCCAGCCTGGGCGACAGTGAGACTCCATCTCAAAAAAAAAAAAAAAGAAAGAAAGAAAGAAAGAAGGCTCTGCCTAATAGCCAGACACTGAGTCTGCAAGGGTCTCGATCCCAGACTTCCCAGCCTCCAGAACTGTGAGCAATACATTTCTTTTTTCCTTTTTCTTTTTTTTTTTGAGACGGAGTCTTGTTCTGTGGTCCAGGCTGGAGTACAGTGGCATGATCTCAGCTCACTCCACCCTCCACCTCCAGGGTTCAAGCAATTCTTCTGCCTCAGCCTCCTGAGTAGCTGACTACAGGTGTGTGCCACCACACCCAGCAAATATTTTGTCTTTATTAGAGACAGGGTTTCACTGTACTAGCCAGGATGGCCTTGATCTCCTGACCTCGTGATCCACCTGCCTCAGCCTCCCAAAGGGCTGGGATTACAGGCATGAGCACCGCGCCAGGCCAGCAATACATTTCTGTTGTTTAGAAGCCACACAGTTTACGGTAGTGGGAATTGTTACAGCTGCCTGAGTAGACTATGAGAGTCCACCCTGTCTCACTTCCTAAATTGACTTTGGTTTCACCTTATTTTATGTCCTTGGAAGTGCTAGAAAAGTGCATATCCCAAGGGCAAAGATTTGCAGCCTGCCTGTCCCTGGTCTGCAGTCTTTCTTCTTACAAAGAAGCCCCAGAGGGCCTAGAAGAAGATGGAAAGAAGGAATGAGTCAGTCATCCAAGAAGTCTTTATTTTCCCACTTGGTTACTGTTTTGGAGCTTGTGCCCTCTGAGCTCTGAGATGGGGTTGGGGGGGCAGTGCCAGGGAAGGCCTGTGGGGCTGTGCAGTTGCTTCCCTCTGGGCTGGCTCTGAGCCCAGGGCAGGATCAGGCACTTGAGAGCCCCCCACCGAGCCTCATTGGCATAGACAGTTGTGCCTCTCACAGGGCTCAGGGGAGGTGGAGGTGTGGGCAAGTCCATCCCCAGGGCTGTAAGGAAGGAGCAGCTCCTCCACAAGGCCAAGCAGAAGCATTAGGGAAATCATCCTCAGTTTTAGCACTGCGTGTTCTTTAGGAGAGAAGTCCTGAGTGAGGAGGCCCAGCTGTTCTCCAGATCCAGCTCCTCGGGGGTTTCCACAGAGAACTGGTATCAAGGCAGCTCTCAGGGGCAGCATGCCCGGTGATGCGGCATCTTACCTTCATCCCCATCTCAGAATAGGCAGCCTGTCTCAGATTCAAGAAGGACGAATCCTGAGGTGTGGCGTTCAGTCCTTAGTTAGACCTGAGGTCCCCTGGAAATTGTGTTGATGCTGAGATGGATGAGGGGCGCTCGTTCTCTGGGGTAGACAGTGAGGAGTCCAGTTTCAGCCGAGCCTCCATGTCTGCATGGATGGTTATGACCCTGATTGTTTTTGGAAACAGCCAAGCTCTCTAGGTGTACTCAGCAAATGCGGAGTATAGAGGGTCATGGCGGGGTTGGTTATCTAAAATCAGACTGAGCACTTTGCCTCCTCTTCTCCCCTTGCCTCTTTCTTTTGTCTTCCTGCATACCCAGGGTATTATTTAAGCCATGGAAGCAAAACAGAGACTGCTCAGCCTCCCTAACAGTAGTTGGTGGGAGTGGCCAGCAACCATGGAGGCAGGAGCAGCCCCTCTTTGCCTCTGAGTAGTCCCCACATGTTCCCTCTTCCTGAGATTTCAACTGCCAGGCCCGGTCACCTCTGTAGCCTACTCTTAGGACACATAAGTGGAGGCGAGGGTAACCAGAGTCCTTGTTCTTTCTTTGGATTGGAGTTGTCCAGCCCTTCCGATGTCTGGTCAGGGAGCAGAGTCACTGCTAAGATGTTGAGACTTGGAGATCAGGACCAGACTTTTCCCCATTCTTGCATCTGGCCTGTGCTTGGGCAGGGCCTCGGGTGAAGGATGGTCTTGGAATCACCCTTTTGTCAGCCCCAGGAAGGAGTGACTGGAGTGGCTTCTAGAAACTTCTCTCATTGCTTTTCCCTCATGGCAGCTAAGCACTTAATGTTCACGTTATAGAAGAGGAAACTGAAGCTCACAAAGAGGGTCTTAGAGAAGACCAGGACACCTGGGCTTCTTTCTTTGTCTGTCATAAATTGCCAGCTCCTGTCTTTAAGTTCAGAGAGACATTGGAGGTTCCCCTTACGTCCATCTGGGGCCAACAGAGGAAGCAGAGGAGTGGCCAGTGGTGAAGACCTGGAGTCCAGCCCCTTGTCCTTACTGATGCTGCTTCCTGTGACTGCAAGCACCACTAAGGAGCACACCCACCCAAGGGGTACCCCCAGATCACTCGGCCCACTTTCCCCAGACCCACCTTCCCAGGCTTGAGGGAGGTGGGTGCCTGGGCTGTTGGAGGGTGGCAGGGGTCAGGGGCTGGGTTCCTCTGGAAGCTGGCCTGCATACAGGGCCAAAGTGTGGTGCAGGAACTGGTACTGCTCTGCCGTCTGGATCATCCCCCCTCTGCAAGGAGAAACACACAGACCATGAGTAAAGGAGGGTCAGGGTGCTGGCTGAATGGCTCCAGTCAAACATTCTTGCGGTCCTACTGGAAAAGTCCTGACTTTCTCAAAGAACATGCCAACTCCTTTGCCTGTGTTAATCTTTTCTTTTTCTTTTTTTCTTTTTTTTTTATGAGACAGTCTCACTCTGATACCCAGGCTGGAGAGTTGTGGTATGATCTTGGCTCACTGCAGCCTCTGCCTCCTGGGTTCAAGTGGTTCTCCTGCCTCAATCTCCTGAGTAGCTAGGACTGTAGGTGCCTGCCACCATGCCCAGCTAATTTTTGTATTTTTAGTAGAAACAGGGTTTCACCATGTTGCCCAGGGTGGTCTTGAACTCCCGACCTCAAGTGATTGGCCCATCTTGGCCTTCCAAAGTGCTAGGATTACAGATATGAGCCACCATGCCCCGCCACCTATATTCATCTTTTCTACTTGCTACTCCTCCTTGCTGACCCTCAGATTTACTGTGAGAGGAGTCCTCTGCCCCTTACACGTGCTGAGGGGTGATGCCCCGTGTTGACGCTTGGTCTTCCTTGATTCACTCAGCTCCTGGGACAAAACCAGACCTCTGAAGCCTTGAGTCGGGCCAGGAATACTCCTGAGCCTCAAGTTTCCTTCTTTCTAATAATCTTAAAAGTAAAAATAATGATTCCATACATTTGTATAATAGTTTCCATTTCCAAAACACTTTCATATAAGTTAACTCATTTCTTACAACAGTTTTCTGGGGGAAGGAGCCATTATCTCTCTCTAGATAAAGAAGTGGGGGCTGGGCACAGTGACTTAAGCCTGTAATCCCAGTACTTTGTGAAGCCAAGGGGGCATTGTTGAGCCCAGGAGGTCGAGACTAGTCTGGGCAACATAGTGAGACCCCATCTCTATTATTACAAAAAGAAGAAAGAAAGGAAAAAAAAAGAAATGGGAGCTCAGAGAAATCTAGTGACATCTCAGTGAGACAAAAGTTGGAATCTGAACACTGGCTCTGCCTCAACCCAGTGAGCTTCTTTGCACTACTTGTTGCCTCATATCATGTTTAATTCCAGGGCTCCAAGCCAACTTTCCAGATAGATATTCTTTTTTTTTTTTTTTTTTTTTTTTTGAGACAGAGTCTTGCTGTGTCACCCAGGCTGGAGTGCAATGGCACAATCTTGGCTCACTGCAACTTCCACCTCCTGGGTTCAAGCAACTGTCCTGCCTTAGCCTCCTGAGTAGCTGGGATTACAAGGGCCCGCACCAGGTCCAGCTAATTTTTGTATTTTTAGTAGAGACAGGGTTTCACCATGTTGGCGAGGCTGGTCTCGAACTCGTGACCTCAGGTGATCCACCCACCTCAGCCTGCCAATGTGCTGGGATTACAGGTGTGAGCCACCGCGCCCGGCCATCCAGATAGATATTTTTTGCTGGTTGTTAGTTGCAAAATAAACAGCTCTAAGCAGAAAGGGTTTCTTCCTTTCTTGCAGGAGTGCTTGATGGTGATGGGCCTATCAGGGCTCTGGGGCCCAGAGGCACTGATGCCCCCCATTAACGTTGTTGGCCTTGTTTATACCCACAGACCCACCTGTCTAGCCGCAGTTGGCACACAATGCCCAGAATGTCCACTTCCCCTCGGGCCTTCAGCTGTTGACAGCCAATTCGCGTGGCGATGAAGCAGCCTGTCCGGCCAATCCCTGCACTGAAGATAGCCAGGGAGGGGACAGGGAGGTCATGGGAGACAAGGGAATCTAAGAGCCAGGCCCCAAACCATGGAGAAAGAAATGGGACCTGCAGGTGCTGTATTTTGGGGATAGGACTCTGGAGATGGGGGCAGGTAGAGTACTTCGGATTCCAGTCCCCTTGGGGACCCTGCTGGAGGCAGGTTATAACTGGCACGGGAGGAGTTTACATTTCTTACCAGCCTCACTGTAAGCCTGTTGCAGGCCACCTTCTGGTCCCTGTGGACGTTTTGATGATCTCCACTCTGCTGAGCATCTACAGCAGTTTCCAACAGACAGTTCCCCACTTGTGGGCGTGCTGACCCTTGAGCCCTCCTTATCTAACCTTGACTTCCTCTCAGCTCAGACTCATCTTCCACGCAGCCCATGCCCGGCCCCTCTGTTTCCCACCTTGGCGCCCTCCCACAGTCTTCTCTCCGCTCTGCTCTGCTTGCTCCATCGTGCCCTCTGTTTATTTCAAAACTCCCCAGGCCTCCTGTTCCTCTTGCGTGAGCCTCTAATGACCTCCCTGCACATGTCCCACTGCTACCTGTGGGTGGGCTGGGAAGGCCCTGTGTCATGCTTTTTGCCTCTGTGCTCTGTTTTATTTAGGATATGCACTCCCAAATGATCTCTTTCTTTAGTCTTATCCCCTACGATACCCTCTCACTCCAGCCCAATCCATTTTTCACTCTATAGCCAAAGTGTTATTTTACAACCAAGTGTCTTAGCCAGTCCTACAAGGCCCCTCATCATCTGACCTTCACTGGCCTTCCAAACCCATCTCTCATCATTACCCCACACATAACCTCTGGGCCCAACCTGTAACCCTGCTCCCAGCAGTGTATCCATTTTCACATTTCTTCTCTGGGCCTTAGTTAGCATATGCTGTTCCACCTGCCTGGAATGTGTTCCCTTCCCTCTCTTCGCTTGGCTAATTCACCTTTCAGGTCTTAGCTTGGCTTAGATGGCCTTTCTCTTGGAAAACCTTCTCTGGTCAAAGTCTGGCTTAGGAGACTTGGTTCTATGCTCCCCATCATATCCCCATCACAGCTCTCATCACATTGTGTGATATTTAATAGTTTGTTTGTTTTTTTTTTTTAAGACAGAGTTTTGCTCTTGTTGCCCAGGCTGGAATGCAATGGTGTGATCTCAGCTCACCGCAACCTCCACCTCCCAGGTTCAAGTGATTCTCTTGCCTCAGCCTCCCAAGTAACTGGAATTACAGGCATGCACCACCATGGCCAGCTAATTTTGTACTTTTAGTAGAGACAGGGTTTCTCCATGTTGGTCAGGCTGGTATCGAACTCCCGACCTCAGGTGATCCGCCTGCCTTGGCCTCCCAAAGTGCTGGGATTACAGGCCCGGCCGGTATTTAATTGTTTAATCTGCCTTCTTTGTTTGTTTTTGTTAGTTTGTTTGTTTGAGATGGAGTCTTGCTCTGTTGCCCAGGCTGGAGTGCAGTGGTGCAGTCTCAGCTCACTGCAACTTCCACTTCCCAGGTTCAAGCAATTCTCCTGCGTCAGCCTCCCACGTAGCTGGGATTACATGCACGTGCTACTTTTTGTATTTTTAGTAGAGATGGGGTTTCACCATGTTGGCCAGGCTGGTCTCGAACTCCTGACCTCAGGTGATCCTCCCGCCTCAGCCTCCAAAAGTGCTGGGATTAGAGGCATGAGCCACTGTGCCTGGCCTAATCTGCCTTCTTTCTCACCAGACTGTAAACCCGTCTGGGAAGAAACCAAACTGCTTTGTTCACAGCTGTCTCTTTAGCATCTAACACTGTGCCTGACAATAATAAGTTTTCTTTTTTTGAGATGGAGTCTTGCTCTGTCACCCTGGCTGGAGTGCAGTGGTATGATCTCAGCTCACTGCAACATCTGCCTCCAGTGTTCGTGCAATTCTTCTGCCTCAGTCTCCCAAGAAGCTGGAATTATAAGCATGTGCTACCACACCCAGCTAGTTTTTGTATTTTTTAGTAGAGACAGGTTTTCACCATGTTGGCCAGGCTGGTCTCAAACTCCTGACCTCAAGTGATCTGCCCATCTCGGCCTCCCAAAGTGCTGGGATTACAGGTGTGAACCACTGTGCCCGGCCAATAATAGGGTTTTCAATACATATTTGTTGAATGAGTAAATGAGTTCCCCAACAGTTGGAATCCTGTTTATGTCCTCCTGCAGCTGACTGGGACCTTCCTGATATTCTGTCCCCTCTGTGGATGGGGCCTGGGTGTCCAGCCCAGATGTCTGGGTTCTGCATGAAGGAGGTGAAAAGAACAGAGCCCTTGCTGAATGGCCTTGTGAGTCATGTCCAAGTAAGGACTAGGCTTGCCTGATGCTCTTCTGCTCAGACCCTTCCCCAGGAGAGACCCAGGGGGCAGGGGAGGGGAGCGCAGTCCACAGGCTGCAGTGAAAGGAGGACCACGCACCTGCAGTGGACTACAATGGGCCCGGGGCGGGCAGCTGTCTCCGGGCTCTCCTCCACCTCTGCCACTAGGCGCAGCAGGGGCCCAGCTGATTCTGGTGTCTGGTGGTCGGGCCAGGCTGAGAAGAGGATGTGCTTTACTGACCGGCACTCTTCCCGGTACTGGGTTGGAGACAAGGCATGAGAACCAAGGTCAGGGTGGAGGGCACTGTCTGCCTTTTTCTCTGGTGACTGAGGAGGGCAAGGGCTGGAATTACCCTGTGGGGGGTCATCTACTCAAAGCAAGCTAGGTTGCAATTTTCATGTTCATCATTCTCCACCGCTTCCCCCTCCAAAATGCTGGGAAGGAGCATTGTCCTGGGAGAGGGGAGACACCGAAATTCAAGTCCTGGCTCTGCTTCCCATAAGCACATGACTTTGGGCAAGTCCCTTGATCTCATTTTCTTCACCTGGAAAATGGGGACAGTGATATCTTACTGGTTTACTTGCTAGGATATTTGGAGGAGAATGAGTTGATAGAGGAATGCTTTCAAAAATATAAAACACTGTAAAATAATAGAAGGCATTTAAAAAGCCCTTATGTACATGTTATTCCACATCTCTTTCTTTCTTTTTTTTTTTGCTTGTTTTTTTGAGACACACAGTCTCACTCCATCACCCAGGCTGGAGTGCAGTGGCACAATCTTGGCTCACTACAACCTCTGCCTCCTGGGTTCAAGTGATTCTCCTGTCTTAGCCTCCCAAGTAGCTATAATTTTTAGTAGAGACGAGGTTTTACCATGTTGGCCAGGCTGGTCTGGAACTCCTGACCTCAGGAGGACTCCACTCGCGTCAGCCTCCCAAAGTGCTGGGATTGCAGGCAGAGCTGCCACACCTGGCCTTCCACATCTCCTTTAACCTCCTCTCCTTCCCTTGGCCCGGCTCCTGGATCCTGCCTATCCTCGCCTGACCATTCACACAGACAGGTGGGTACTTCTTGGTAGTCCTATTCGGCTTTTTGGCTCTGCCCTATTAGACTAGAGGCTGAGGACAGTGCTCAAGTTTCTCTTTCTTCTATAGATGTGGATTTAAGATGGTTTAGATGAGCAAACCCTTGGCTCCTAGTGAAGAGCCGGCCTGAGTTCCAGAGATGCTGTGGGCAGCCCAACCTCCCACTGGGCCTGGCCCCTGGGGTGGTACCTGGATGGTGAGCTGCCGCACAGTGTATTCTGGGCACTCTTTCATGTCCTGGATGCGAATCTGGAAGGGTCCATAGGTTTCCTCTTCTGTGGGCCAGTAGTGGACACATTTCTAGGAGGGAGGAAGCTGGGAGTCAGAAGAGGGTCAGCTGGAGCAGGTGACAGGGCAGCAAAGAGGGGCCGGTATCTCCTCCCCATTTTCCACCCCTACTGGATGGAAGGTCAGCAACAGGGAGCCTGGCTCTTCTGAGCTTGACACCTGCAAGCAGAGTGCTCACTCTATCCTATATTTCGGCCATGGACAGCCTCCCAGGGGTATATCTCAGGGAATTTTCTGAGAGGTATGAGCTGGGGCTGGCTCCCAGGGAAACCTCTGGTCCTGAGCTGCCCTTTGTAGGGAGTAGGGGGTGGGGTGGGCATAGCACTTTCTGGGTTCATCATGAACGTGGCTCTGCCTCCTACCTCCTTGCCCTCTCGGAGCTGAGTGAGCATGACAATGAGGGACACTTCCTCTTGCCACACCATCTCCCAGAAGTCCGACACAGTGTTGGGCATGGGGCCCTGGGTGGCAATGTAGACCTTCTCCTTCCCATCATAGCCCTGGAAGGTGGAAGCACAGGGGAAGGGGTGGGGAGCAGTGAGAGCAGAACTCTGGGGTGATCCTGGATGCCTCAGGTGTTGGGGTCAGCCTGAAGCTGTGAACTACAGGTATAGACACACACGTGCATGAACACGCACACTCAGAAGCCACACGGTGGAAAGGATATGGGTTCTGGAGTGAGGATCAGATCCCTGTTCTGCTGTTTCCTGGCTGTGCCACTATAGGCCAGTTACCTAGCCTCCGTAAGCCTCAGTTGTATCATCTGTAAATTGGGCATAATAATATCTATCTTGTAGGAATATAGAGTGGATTAAATTCAGTAAAATATATTGAGTCAATATAGCAAGTGCTCTATAAATGTTTATTCTCTTCCTCCCCTGCTGCTTTCTTCTAGCACAAAATACCTAAACAGTGTTTAATATTTGTTCAGTGACCGTTTCACACTTACATGTTACTTTTCTATAAAAGTAGTAGCAAAATGTAGCACAGTCTCCCTAACCTGATTTTCTCACCTTCAGGACCCTCAGCTTCCTGCTCCTCAAGATGATGGTGGAATCAGGACTGCAGTTGATCTGGTATTGGCCGACAAATGGAAGATCGTGTTTCCCCATAGCTTCCCTAGCTAAGAGCTTTTCGCCTCCCTGCGCCCCTGACTGATGTCTTACCACACTGAGTCACTAGAGAGCGCTGCTTTTACATCGCCTTAGGGTCCACAGCAGCGAGAAGCTGTCGAGGAGCATCCACCTGGCCTGGAGCTTCCTATAGCTTGACATCAATCAACCGTCTTCACATAAGAGGGGCTACTTGAGGGTCAGTTAAGGTAAGTTGTGGGGGAGGTCCCATTACTGCTGGCATCACCCATGCAGTTCTCGGGAGCTGCGACCTCTCAAGGAGCTGGAGATTGGGTTCAACAACACTAACTTCCTGCTAAGTTTAGAGGGTGGCATGGGAGGGCTGATAGTGGAGGTTAGGGAGACTCGGTGGTCTCTCCAGATATTTTTCAACATCTGCTCCGTTTTTTAGGTTGGTGCCTTAGGGCGCGTTCAGTGCCAGCCCAGCTTGGTAGGGCTATGACAGCAGTGAGCTGGAGCAGGGAGGGCAGGAAATGCAGGCACCTGATCCGCCAGTCACAGCTGGAAGATATTCTCAGATGTCTGAGAATTCCCCCATTCCCCACCCACCACTGCAGCCAGGCCACTCACTCGGATGTAGTTGGCATTGATGTAATCTCCGTCCTCCTGGCTCTGTGCCCGGCCTAGACAGACACGGCTCTGGGGATCTAGGAAATAAAAATCAGCAGAGGTCAGAGGTCAGAAGGTGACCAACTAACACAGACTCCAGCAGGATCAGAAAGAAGAGAGTTCCTGTGCTCATCACAGTCCCAGCACCTTGTGTACAGCAGGTGGCCTTATCCCCACTGAAGTTGTTGTTGTTGTTGTTGTTGTTTTTAGAGACAGGGTCTCACTCTGTTGCCTAGGCTGGAGTGCAGTGGTGTGATCACAGCTCACTGTAACCTCTAACTCCTGGGCTCAAGTGATACTTCTGTCTCAGCCTTCCACATAGCTGGGACTACAGGCACATGCCACACCACACCTGGCTTATTTATTTATTTATGTTTTTGGTAGAGACAGGGTTTCACTTTGTTGCCCAAGCTGGTCGTGAATTTCTAGCTTCAAGCAATTCTCCCACCTCAACCTCCCAAAGTGCTGAGATTACAGGTGTGAGCCACCATGTCTGGCCCCTATGAAGAATTTTATACGCAGACGGTAGGGAGCTATATAATGTTTTTGAGCAGGACAGTGACATGATCAAAGCAATAGTTTGGGAAGGTTAACTGAGTGGTGCTATATAGGATGGACTAGAGAAGAAAGGGAACGGAACAGCAGAGACCAAATGGGAAGATATAATATCAGATATAATATTCTAATATATATAGAATTCTATCCTTGAGATCAGTACAGGTTTAAAATAAGATTATGCCAGTAGGAATGGAAAAAGAGATGTAGAGGAAGAAGAATTTGTTTTCTAATGGTGAATATGGGATTCAGATGAGCAACTTGCTGGATATCACACAGCCGTGAAGTGGAACTAGGACTCAGATTCCACTCAGCCATGAGGCATTTGGCCTCTGCCTCTAAGGGGGAAGGATTTCTCTAAATGAAACCCAAACATGGATGAAGAAGCTGGCTTGTGAGGAAAGGAGAAGAGACTCTTGCTCTGCTCATGCCAGCCTGGTCATGGACAGAGGATACCCTGGGGACCAGGGGAATCTCAGGCAAAGGAATTGTTCCCTTTTCTGGTGGCTGCAGGGCTGATTAGAATTAGGCCAAGAACAGGGGTACTCCTCCCCCTGGCCTGGAATAGCGCTAATAGCCCCTTGATCCGCCCATTCAGGCAGAGAGCACTCCAGGAGGGTTAGCAGGAGACAGGGCCCATGTGCTCACTGAGCTAAAGCCTCAAGCTGGGAGTAGCTTCCCTATAGGGAGAGCAGGGGAGGGAGGGAGAGGCTCCGGGGCCTCGTGCCTGCCTCTGAAAAATGGAAGGTGCTTGTCCTGGGTCTGTCAGCTTGCAGGGTCACCCCCTCCTAGCTGAGTGTCCTCCATCCCCCCGCCACTGCTCTCTTGCTGGCCGTTGCCCTGTCTCCATCTGACTTTTTCAAAGCCCTCTCTCTGGGAGCCCTCCTGGTGGTGCTTCCTCCACCACAAGCCTTGGCTGGGCACTTCCCAAGCGAGAGGAAGACAAGGAAAAGGGCTTCGTGCAAGTAGCTAAGCTGAATATCTTAGGTAACATATTCAACTTATCTGTGCCTTAATTTCCTTATTTGTAAAATGGTCATCATAATATCACAGTACAAATTTCATGGGATTGTTGTGAGAAATGAGTGAATATAAAAGATTGAGACTGGACGCAGTGGCTCACGCAGTGCTAATCCTAGCACTTTGGGAGGCCGACGCGGGCGGATCACCTGATGTCGGGAGTTCAAGACCAGCCTGACCAACATGGAGAAACCCCATCTCTACTAAAAATACAAAATCAGCCGGGTGTGGAGGCGCATGCCTGTAGTCCCAGCTACTTGGGAGGCTGAGGCAGGAGAATCGCTTGAACCTGGGAGGCGGAGGTTGCAGTGAGCTGAGATTGCGCCATTGCACTCCAGCCTGGGCAACAGGAGCGAAAACTCCATCTTAAAAAAAAAAAAAAAGGTTTGAGAGCAGGGCCTGGCCCAAGGTACATATCTGCAAACGTTATTATTGCTGCTGTTGTGATTCTTGCTGCTTCTTCCCCCTTTCTCTGCTGAGAGAAGATGTGCCAAGCAAGGTTGTCCTTCCCTGGCTGAAACTGTGTACTTTCTCCTGTGAAGTTCTCTAGCCCCAGGGACTGTACCCAACTCCCTCCATCCCAGCTGCAGTTCTTACTTGGCAAGATGGTCTTGTATCGGTCCTTGGAGGCGTGGCCAGGGATGTCCAGGTCTTCGGGGCTGACAAAGTTTGAAGGGATCTTCTGGCAGGGGGAGGAAATGGGTGAACAGCTGACTCCTAGCCTCCTTTTCTCTCCCTTCTACCTTTTTCTAGAACAGCTGGACTCTGGCCATTCCTTCTCGACATTAGTATGTAGGCCTAGATGGGGTGGGGGCAGAAGGGGAAGCCTGGGGGCAGCCGCCTCCCTCAGCCCTGACGTTCTCTTTCCTAAGGGGCCCAAAGAGGAGACATGCCCACGGTGCCCGTGAGAGAATGGTTCCAGCTGGCTGCCTCTGATACAGAGGGCAGAGTGATTCGGAGGGGACCCCAATTTCTTACCAAGAATTCTTCTTCCAGCTGCTTGGGGCTGGGTGGCTGGTGCTGAAGGGCCCAGCGGGTAAGAGGGTGTCCAGCAGTGCGCAGGAAATGTAGGGTGACCTCCCGGGGTGTGTTCACGGAGCAGATGGGTTCTACGGCCCCCAGCGACCGAACGTCCAACATCAGAGCCACATTGGAGCCCCGCCTGCAGGTATAGCCCCCCACTGCCTAGTGAGCACCCAATCATATTTGCTTTCCTTTTCTTTTTATCTTTTCTTTTAGACATAGGGTCTCTCTCTGTTGCCCAGGCTGGAGATAGGGTCTCTCTCTGTTGCCCAGGCTGGAGTGTGATGGCACAATTGTGGCTCACAGCAGCCTCAAACTCCTGGGCTGAAGCGATCCTCCCACCTCAGCTTCCAGAGTAGCTGGGACCACAGGCATATGCTACCACACCTGGCTAATTTAAATTTTTTTTTTTTTTTTTGGAGAGACAGGGTCTTGCTCTGTTGCTCAGGCTGGTTTTGAACTCAAGTGATCCTCCTGCCTTGGCTTCCCAAAGTGCTGGGATTATAGGCATGAGCCACTGTACCTGACCATATTTGCTTTTCTTACAAGTATTACTGTTATGAGGCACCTCTGAGGGGGCCGCTCTTTGTCTTTCCTTTAACCTGGAGGCCCAGTAAATTTAGGGTTCGGGCCCCTGCTGTATGCCCTCCTTTTTTTTTTGAGAGAGAGGAGGTCTCACTATATTGCCTAGGCTGGTCTCTAATTCCTAGACTCAAGAGATCCTCTCACCTCAGCCTCCCAAAGTGCTGGGATTTGGGGCATGAGCTACCATGCCCGGCTCAGCCCTCTCCCTTTGTCAGCCAGAACAGGGGAGCCTTGAACTCAACTGCTTCTTCCAGCCGCCTGCCTCTTCCCACTCCCAGCCAGGCCCTGTGGCTCTGACATGCATCCAGCACCAAGAAAGCTGCTGGCCTTGCCTGGAATTTAGGGAGCAGGCCCAGGGTTGATATGAAACTCTGTGCTCCAGACATGCAAAAGACATGCAAATGAGCACTATTGGTTTCCTTTCCAAATAGGAGTCAACACCTGAGGGCCCTCTGGACCCTGCTGTCAGAGCTGGAGGAGCAGATGGAGGGAAGGGAGGAGCGGAATGGGGACGCAGGGCGGGGAAGACCCCTCTCCCAGGGAAGATCTCACCTCTCCTGGAGCCGTACATGCTTCTTGGCTGGCGTTTTGGCAGGCGGAGGCTGGGTCATGGCTGCCCCCAAAGACAAGGTCAGCGGCTGTGCTCTGGAGCGCCCCCAACAGGCCTGGACCATGCTGGGGTGGGGTGCTAGGCCCAGGGGAGGCTCATTCAGCCATGAGGTCTGCCTGAAAGACAGGGTCCTCCGCTGCTGTTCTCTGGCCTGCTGATTGGCCAGAAGGAGGCTCCCACGCTAGGCCGGCTTTGCGCTCTTGTTTTCACTGGGTCGTCTTCTGTTTCCCAAGAGGTAGCCTCATTTTCACTAAGGGAAGGACAGGATCTATTTGGCGGGACCCAGGACACAAGGCAGTCTGGGGTCAGAGTAACGGCAAGATAAAGGGTAGAGATTGTGGATGAAGATAGGAAAGAATCCAGAAGGAGGAAAAGAGAGAGGGCAGAGAGACCACACACCAGAGTACACAGGGCTCTGAGCGGGTCCAAGTGGGAGAAGGCAAGGGAGGAAACAGAAAACATGTGTTCTCTAGGACAGAAGGGAGAAAGCGTGCAGAAGCCATCTCTGAGCTAACCAGTGGGCCTTCTCCTGAACAGAGAATGGAGGCCTCCAGCAGTGTTGGAGCTGATTGGGCAGCCAGGCAGGCGGGCTCCTGGACCCCAGCAGGGTCCTCTCCTAACTGCTGCTGTTCCACTCCCAAGTCCATTTCTGGCTTCTGGGGTCTCTGTCCAGGGAGGTAGGCTGGAGGTGTTTCCTTCCTCCTCCTGCCCATCCCCCCGTCTCCCGCCTCTGTAACCGTCACAGGAAATGGCCTCACCAAGCCCTTGAGCGACAGCGCATGGTGAGGCGACAGCTGGGGGCAAGACAGGGGGCATGGAGGTGATGGGACCATCTCCTCTTGGGGGCAGTCCCTATCTCCCAGAGCCAGGGTCACAGTGGGCGAGAGGTGGCGGGGCTGTTGAGTCACCAAGGCGGCAGGGATGGAGGTGAGGGGACAGAGTGGGCCCGGCACAGGTGTGGGTGGTAGAGCAACGGTCTCTGGCAGCAGAAAGGGTCCCTTCAGCCTTTGCTCTCCTTGCAGCTCCCTGTGGTTTCCCTGCTCACCCCCATCTTGGGGACACCAGGTCTGTGAGCACCCATTCCCCAGCCAGGCATTGGAGCGCCCCACTCGCCCTCCTGCACTCCCTCCTGAGATGCCCTCTTATATCCCCGGAGTTCGCACCCCCCAGGGCCACAGGACTCCCAGTCCCCGCTTCAGATACTTACTGAAGCAGCTGTGGCCCCCAGGCTGCCTCTTGCCAGCTGTCTGTCTGTCTGTCGGTCTGTCTTTGAGGGCTGAGAAGGCTCCAGGAAGCCAGCTTCCTCCCTCCGCCCCTCCTTGCTGCCACCCACGCACACCCCAGCTGCATTCTGCCCTCCTGTGCCTGCTGCCGCTGCCACCAGGGGTCGGCTGCCTCCCGCCTGTGCCCTTCTGGGGCCCAAGGCCCTGTTCCCTGGGAATGGGTGAGGGGCCAGGCCTTCCCGACCATCCTGCTTTCCCCAGCTTCCAGACCCTCTCCCCTCCTGCTGTGTTTCTCCTCTGGGTCTTTGTCACATCCAGCCACTGCCTACTTGCTGGGCACAGCTCGCCTGACCCCCAGCTCTGTGCTGTCCCACAAAGAACCCAAGGCTCTCCTGCTCAACCTGACCTTGGCCGGAGGCTTATTTCTGCTTCTCTGCTTCTGCCTCACAGTCCTCTCCCTCAAAGCCCTTGCTGCTTCAAGCCTTGGGAATTCATGGCCAAGCACAGACCACATCTTCCCAGAGCAGATGTGGCACAGACTTGGGGTGGGGAAAAAGAGGAGGCAAGAATCCATGCCTCACAATGTGAAGGAAAGGCCTGGGGCCAGGCCAAAAAGGTCGTCTCCACGCCCTGTGCCACGGCCCAGCTCTCCACAGCCCGCGGCCTGAGTGTAGGCCAGCCCAGCAGGAAACAGATAGCAGAGTCCACTTGTGGGAGGGAGTCTGAGGGGCTTCCCCTGGGCCCCCAGCCCCCTGCAGGCCTCCTCCCAGAACCCTGACATCTACTTAGAAGACTTACAGACAGTGGAGAGTCTCTGGCCCTCACACCAGGGGACTCCCATGTCCTCTTCGCTGCTGGGGTGCCTGGATGCCTGGGACCTGAAGGGTGGCCCCCAAGTCCAAGACTCCTCTGCCCACTGCCCCTGCCTGGCCTTGGCAGGCTCCTTGCGGGCCAGCAGCCCAGCCGATTCATGCTTGCTGCAGGCCTCCTTTTACCTTGTAACATTTCAAACGCCCTTCCCTTCCCGGCCCCCAACACGCGCAATCCACGTCCTCTTTCTTCCTCCCACTTCCCTGATTCAGCTGTCAAATGGTGACAGCAAAAAAGAAATGAGGTACCCTAGACACAGGGGGTAGGCATGCCGGAGGGGGTGGTCGGGAGGGGGCTGGCCTTCTGCTGGCCCCTTGGGGAGGAGGGTTGAGATGAAGAACAAGAACGGCTCTCAGAGGCTCAGAAGGCCTCCCAGCACCCGCCCTTGCTCTGGGCAGTGGGGACAGGGGCTGGCTCTTTTTTGAGCTCCTCCATGGCCAGCTGATCCTGGCGCCTCCTTCCCTGCAGCCTGCGCTCCTCTCCAGAGTGGGTGGGTTTCCCCGAGGAGGAGGCCAATTAGGGCTGGGAAATGGGTTGGCTCCTGTGCTCAGGAGAGAGTGGAGGGGAGCAGGAACCTGGGAATCCCTAACATGCTTGCGGGCAGTGACCCGGAGACTGGCCTCTGCCTCACCCCCCACACCAGTCAGTGTTTCCACTGGTGGGTAGTGGGGGCCCTGGGGACACAGGAGGGGGCAGGTGGGGGTTGGAAAGAGGGCCCGGCTCTGGGCCTATGCTGATTGTTATCAAGAACAGGAAGCTAGGACACCACAGGGGTGGGAGGAGGAAGCGGCAAAGCCCTCCCCACACAGGTCTGCCTGGTCCCCCCAAGTTTCCAGGGTCTGAGCCCTGTTGGCTGTGAGCCTACCCTTTGCCCCCACAGACCGAGGCCTAGGGCCGTACAGTTGGAAGCTGAGCTTCACAGCAAGGAAGCTGGGAGCCAGGAGATGGGGAAGATAGTTGGGGGCAGGTGGGGTAGTGGCTGAGCATGAGGCAAGACCTCTCAAGGATCCCCCGTTCCCTCTGGCTGGGTGTGGGGACAGTCACTCCTTGGCTCCTGCCCACTCCTTCTTCTCCTGTGCTTAGAGATGCCTGGACGTCCATGGAGGTGTGTGGCCAGAGCTCATGCGGGCTGAGGGTGCCGACTGCAACCTCAGATGGGACAAAACATGCGTCGTCGCCCTGCACCACCCACTCCCCAGCCTGGCCTGGTGACTTGGGACGCCCCTTTCTGCCCTCTCTGGAGTGGATTCCGTCCCATCTGGGCTGCTGGGAGGCTCCTGGGAGTGACTCCCTCTCCCCTCCAGAACCTTCCCACCCGTGGTCCCAGCAGCTGTCAAACTTCCATCACTCGAATTGATTTGTGTTCCTGGGTTGAGATTTAGGTTCTAGCCACCCTCGTCTCCAGAGAAAGTATAGTAATCGTTGGAAATCAGAAAGATCTGTGCATAATGAGTCTAAACGTAGCTTATTAACTGTGTGACTTTGGGCAAATTGCTGAGTCTCAGTCTCCTCCTCAGCTTCCTCCCTCCACTGGGGGATGATCATAGCACCTTCCTTGTCAGCCCATGGAGTGATTTGCTCCCGGAGGAGAGGTTGGGAGTCAGTAGCCAGAGGAGCGAGGAGCTGGGAGGAGCTGGCTGGGGAAGTGGGCCTGGGAGCAGCACAGGGTGAGGAGGTCACGGCTGCCGGGTCTCACCTCTCGACAGCCTCCCTCTTCCTCCTCATTGCTGACTTTCTCCCCGAAGCAGGGCTGCTGGGGCGCTTCCACCAGAGCACTGAGGAAGTTCAGGAAGGAGTCACTCCCAGGGGTCTCCCAGCATCCTGGGTGGGACAGAGTCCACACCAGGGAGGACAAAGAGGGCAGGCCAGGCTGGGGAGGGACTGATGCAGGGCATGACGCATCCTGAGAGTCAGGCCTTGTCCCATCTGAGGCTGTGGTGGGTGCCCTCAGCCCTCCCGAGCTCTGGCCACACATGTCTTGACTCTCTTGTTTCCCCCTCTAGTGATTCCCAGTTCCAGGGCTATGAGCTGCAGCTCCCTGCCCCAAGTGTCAGAAGCCCCCCGCCCAGGGGAAAGGCGGCCATTACATCTAGAATTCTCAGAAGTCTTTGCTCCTTGCTAGCCCCTAAGGAGTAGGGAGCTCCTTGCTAGGGTGCAGTTGGCTCCCAGAGGCAAAGGCTGCCACCCTCTAATTATCCAAGAGGAGGATCCTGGGGAGAGAGTCAGCTGCTGGGGGCCAGGACTCCTGGGTCCTGCACACTCCACCTGCTCTGCCCCCTTCCTAGCTGCCCTCTCTGGAGAAGCACTAGGATCCTGGGCGGCTGCTCCTCCATCCTTCTTGCCCCCAAAATCCTAGGCCAGCCTGAGCCGGCTCGTTCTGCCCCAACTTTATAGGCCCAGGCTTGTTGCTGTTTGTGTGGGGGAGACAGAAACACTGAGAACTGGATCTGGGAGGCCTCATCCCGGAGGAAGCAGGGAGACAGCAGGGGAGACAGGGTGAGTGGGGCAGGGAAGTGCTGTTAGGGGCATGGGATGGGTCCGGGCTGACCAGAGTGACAACTGCACCCCTGTCTCAAAGCTGCACCCCTGTGCCGGGCCAGCTAGGACCTCCTGCTACCTTTTGGGTGAAGGGGAACATCCCATACCCCTTACCCCTGGCTGGGAGGACCAGCAATCCAGCCCTGCTCGGCACTGGGCCATCTTGCCAGGAGGTCCAGGAAAGTACCTGGTTCTTTGCCCGTTGCTGGAACTCAGGACCCTGGCAGGAAGGCTTTAGGGTAGAAGAGTCCCTCCCTCTCTCCCAAGCCCAGAGCCAGCCAAATGGACATCTATTCTACAATGTGGCCTTTTCTTCCCAGGGGCTCCCGTCTCCCTCCCGCTCTGTGTTGTCCCTGGACACCCACTCATGCATCCATCAAGACAGATGTGTACACCCTCATGGCCCACATTTGCACAAATGCACATGCACAGTGTCAATCCACACGTGACCAGCCCCTCCCCTGCTCTCCCATGACCTGGTCAGGGGGAACTAGGCCTTCCCCCACTCCCTGGCCACCTTCCCCATAGTATAGGCAGCAGGGGGAGTGGGCGGCCTGGCTGTCCTGAGCCACCCCACCCCTCTGCTGCCCGGTGATTATCTTCCTCCAGTGTGGGGGCTGCCCAAGGCCTGGCTTCAGGCTGTGAGAGAGCAGGGAGGAGCCGGAAGAGCGCTGCCCGGGACAGCTGTAGGCCAGGCCAGTTCACATTTGGGAGCCAGGACTCCTGGACCTGCCCCTTGCCCTCTCCTCTGCCTCCTGGCTGGCTCTCTCCAGAAGGAATCAGTAAGGTGCCCTGAGACCTCAGGGTAGTGGGGGGAACCCCAGGGGTTCTCTAGGGAGAGGATGTGGGTTTGTCTGTGGGGGTGGAGATACAGCCCTTGCGGTACCTTTTCTTTTGCTGAATGGAGAGGTTTGGGCTGGGGAGGCTGCTGCTTATTTATTTTATTTTGTTTTTTTGAGATGGAGCCTCACTCTGTCACCAGGCTGGAGTGCAGTGGCGCCATCTCAGCTCGCTGCAACCTCCAACTCCGTGGTTCTAGTGATTCTCCTGCCTCTCGAGTAGCTGGGATTACAGGCACGCACCGCCACGCACAGCTAATTTTTGTATTTTTAGCAGAGACGGGGTTTCACCATTGGCCAGGATGGTCTTGATCTCCTGACCTCGTGATCTGCCCACCTCAGCCTCCCAAAGTGCTGGGATTACAGGCATGAGCCACCGTGCCCAGCTGGCTGCTGCTTATTTATCAGAACCTCTAGGGGCCCTGTCTCCCGGTCCCCTAGGCTGCGCTGGGGACTGGTGGCTGTGCCTCTTAAGGCCAGGTGCCTCCTCAAGGCTCTGTCCAAAGGACTAGCTATGGAGTCTGTGCTGGGCCCCGCAGGCCTCTTTTTTGTGGGGACTCTTGGGCAGGTTCTGACATACCCTGCATTCACCTAGACCTGTGTCCTGTGCGTCTTTTCTCCTTAGGTTCCGAATTAGGGCGCCTCCACCCCGCCTCTCCCCTTTTTGGTTGCTGATCAAGGCCACCAGAAAGAACAAAGTGAGATGTCCGCAGGTGAAGTGGGATGAGGATGGGATGAGAAGGTACGTCGTTTTCCCCACCTCTTGGTCACACTGGGACCTGGGACTGCTTCCCTTTCACATCAGTTTCCCTGGTTGCAACCGCCCCCCGCCCCCGCCTTTCAAAAGAGCACATATGCGCAGGCGCACACACAGCCTGGAAAATCTCCTGAGTCTGCAGTGCTGAGTTTCCAGGCCCCCATCCAGGGGCCGGGTGGGCGGCTCTGAGGTTTGGGGCTGCGTGGAGCGGGGGAGGGGCAAGCAGCCCCTGGCTGTGGCCTGAGCAGGCAGCCGGGCTGAGCTGGGGCAGGCTTGTCCTTCCTGCTGGGGCAGGCCCAGGAGAATCCAGCTACCCCAGAGGCTGCCTTGGTGTTCAGACTTCCATACCCGTGTGTTTTCCACACATCCCCTCTCCCCACTTCCTGAGTTTGTTCTGAGTCCTAGGCTTCACTCCCAGGGCCCAAAGCCTTTTCTTCCGTTCTCCCTCCTCATCCTCAGTTGTCTGTGGGTGGGAGCACCTGGGTGAGCAGCTCGGGGTGACTCGGGTTGTAGTCAGGAGTAAAGCAAAGCCCTAACTTCGTTATCTTTGAGGCCAGGCCTCAGGCAGGCTTGCCTGGGTTCCAGCAGTGCCCAAAGCCAGGTGGAGGTTGGGAGGGGCCCGGGGAACCAGGATGGACGCTGCTGATCCGGGGAGAGGAAGTGGGGGAAGGCAAGCAAAAGTCCCAGGTACCTGAATTGCTCCTCAGAGGATTCCCAGCTGAGAGGACCCCAGTTTGGGAGGTTAGGAGTAGGGTCCGCCATCTCTGTTTTGTGGAGTCTGAAGTCCCAGGTTCAAGCCCAGCTTTTCTGTTCACAAACTTGGGCTCTTCCCCTCTCTGGTTATCGCCTTCCTCATCTGGCAGTGATGAGGTGCGACCAGAGGAGGCCCAAAGGCCAGGTGGGCTCTAGATCTACAATTGCTGTGACTCAGGAGCCAAAGGATGTGCTTCTGTCCACAAGAGCATGGTACCACATGGAGATACAAAAGGAGGCACACACTCAGCTGGCCATCCACCTAGGACACAGGAACACACATCCACATGGTGTCACCAAGACCATACACACCCCCGGAAACACTATCTATCTCGCATTTGGTGATGGAATCAGCAGACACCGTGCCCCTCCTCCAGGGCCAAGGAGTGGGAGAGCCAGCTGCAAATGTGTCCATTTGCAAAACCACCTCTCCTCTGGGTCTTCCCCAAGAGCACAGGACCCTTTCCTCCCTGGAGAGCTGAGGGCTGGAAGTGGGCTAGAGGTAGGGGAGGCATTAAGGAAGGAGACCACTACTACTCCTGCTGTCCTCCTCCCCCCATCTTGCCTAGTTCACAAGAGAGGAGGAAAGAGAGAAAGCAAAAAGTTGGAAAGAAACAGAAGGAAGATAAATAGCCAGACAACCTTGGCACCACCACCTGGCCCTAGGAGTTAAAAAAGTAATAATAGGCCGGGCGCGGTGGCTCACGCCTGTAATCCCAGCACTTTGGGAGGCCGAGACGGGCGGATCACGAGGTCAGGAGATCGAGACCAACCTGGCTAACGTTGAAACCCCGTCTCTACTAAAAAAATACAAATAACTAGCCCGGCGAGGTGGCGGGCGCCTGTAGTCCCAGCTACTCGGGAGGCTGAGGCAGGAGAATGGTGTAGACTCGGGAGGCGGAGCTTGCAGTGAGCTGAGATCTGGCCACTGCACTCCAGCCTGGGCAACAGAGCGAGACTCTGTCTCAAAAAAAAAAAAAAAGGTAATAATAATATCAACCCCGATCTAAACTACTTGTGTTATCTGTAAATTCCAGACATTGTATGAAAAAGCATTGCAAAACTTTCTGTTCTATTAGCTGATGCATGTAGCCCCCCAGTCACGTTCCCCACACTTGCTCAATTCATCATGACTCTTTCACATGGACTCCTTAGAGTTGTAAGCCTTTAAAAAGGCCAAGAATTTCTTTTTCAGGGAGCTCGGCTTTTAAGATGCAAGTCTGCTGACACTCCCGGCCAAATAAACCTCTTCCTTCTTTAATCTGGTGTCTGAGGAGTTTTGTCTGTGGCTTGTCCTGCTACAGCATCGGGAAGAGGTGGGCTTGTCTGCAGCCTGAGAGTCACAATCCCCTTCCACCTTCTGGGCCTGGAGCCAGTCTCCTCTGTCCCTTCAAGAGCCTTGCCAAGGCTGGAGAGATGGGGGGTCAGACTCTGGGAGTAAGAGGCAGCCCCTTGGCCGGGCGCGGTGGCTCAGGCCTGTAATCCCAGCACTTCGGGAGGCCGAGACGGGCGGATCACGAGGTCAGGAGATCGAGACCATCCTGGTTAACACGGTGAAACCCCGTCTCTACTAAAAAGTACAAAAAACTAGCCAGGCGAGGTGGCGGGCGCCTGTAGTCCCAGCTACTCGGGAGGCTGAGGCGGGAGAATGGCTTAAATCCGGGAGGCGGAGCTTGCAGTAAGCTGAGATCCGGCCACTGCACTCCAGCCTGGGTGACAGAGCGAGACTCCGTCTCAAAAAAAAAAAAAAAAAAAGAGGCAGCCCCTTGCTTTTGCTGCCTGCTGCCTGCTTCTGCTTGAAACTCTGCCCTTCCCACCCATGCCCGCCCGCCTGCTTGCCCGCCAGCCAGCAAGGCAAGGGGGCCAGGGGACTGGCTCCTCCCCTTGCTGCCTCCCAGCTTTACTCTGTAGCTATCGGGATGAGGCCTCCAATCCTGTTTGCTGCCCTGCTCTGGCTCCGGGGTTTTTTGGCAGAGGTAAGGTGGGCATGGGGGGCAGGCCAGCGGGTGGGGTCCCCACTCTCCAGGGCACATCCAGGCCTCCCAGCCCTCCTCGGGGCCCCACAGCTGGTCTGCATTAGGCAAGGAGAGTCTGCTCCCTTTCCACCAGGGCCAGCATGTGGCACAGCGAGCAAGAACAGATTGCTCCAGCCTGCCTGGAGAACAGATGCGCTGTGGGCATGCCTCTGGGAGATGCCCCTTGGCTGTGTGTGGGGCTGTCAGACACAGCAACAGAGCTTTCTCTTGGATCCTGGCCCTGCCCCACCACCCCAGTAGCCTTCCCAGAGGCCTCTGTCCATTTCCCCCACGCTCTGTTCCCTTTCTTCCTGCAGGAGGAAGCATGCCCCTCCCTGGAAAGGAGTGCAGGCAGGGAGAGTGCAGGCAGGTGTCTTCAGCGGGGGAGAGAGTTCTGGGGGTGAAGAGTCAGGGGTGTAGGGCCAGTGTTTCCACACCAGACCCTGCCTCTACCCTGGCTTTTTCTTTTTCTGTTTATTTTTTATTTTTTTATTTTTAGCCTTCCATTCTTCTTTAAGGCAGAAAGGCTATTAGTGGGTTCTGAAAGCACCTCTTTTTCCCCAGGCCCACCCCGAACGTGAACATCACCAGCCAGGGGAGACCTACTAGCCTCTTTCTGAGTTGGGCAGCCCCGGAACCAGGCTTGTTCATCCATGCCCTCTGCCTCACACGTCTGAGCCCCCTCAGCTCTCCTGAAGGGCAGCAGCTCCAGGCCCACACCAATGCATCCAGCTTTGAGTTCCAGGATCTGGTGCCAGGGAATCGCTACCAGCTGGAAGTGACTGCCCTGCGACCCTGTGGGCAGAATGTCACTGTCACCCTCACTGCTCGCACTGGCATGAGGCCTGCAGGCTGAGGGGGTGGGGGTGTTGCCTGGGGTTGGGGAAGGAGGGGGCTGCCCTGGAGTGCTGGCAGGGAGGGCAACTTCTCTGTAGACCATGTCTAGTACAGTCACCCATTTAGGAGCACTGCAGGCAATGCCCCTGTGGCAGTGACCTTGGTGTCTCTGTCTCCCTCTGATGCAGCCCCGCCAACTGTCCATGGACTGCAGCTCCACAGCCCCGGGAGCCCATCCAGCCTGGAGGCCTCATCGGGTGAAGCCCCGGGGGAGCAGGATGGCTATCGCCTTCTCCTCTACCACCTAGAATCCCAGACATTGGCACATAATATCTCCATGCCCCCGGGCACCCTGTGCTACAATTTTGGAGACCTCTTGCCAGGTAGTGAGTATATTTTGGAAGTTAACACCTAGGCTAGCAACCTCCCAGCAAAAACCAGCCTCCCTCAGTGGACAGGTAAGCTGGGCACTTGGGCAAGGCCCCAGGTGGCAGCCAATCTGGGAGTGGTGGGAATGGTGGAAAGTCCGGCGCCTCACAGGCAGCCGTGCCCCAATGTGCCTGGGCTTTTGTGCTCCCTAGTGCCAGGGTCCCTGCAAGCATCCTGCTCCAGGGGTCTTTCTTGAGCCGGACTTTGTTCTCTCCATCCTTCCTGCAGCCCCTGTGTCTCCGGATCACCTGGTACTGCATACCCAGGGCACCAGTGCCTTGCAAGCCTTTGGGAATGGCTCCAAGGGGGGCTGCCTGGCTCCACGTGGTGCTTATAGACCTCCTAGGTGGCACCAACCTGATGGCAGTAGTCAGACGGGGAGTCTCCCATCACACCTTCCTTCACCTGTCTCCGGGCACCCCCTATGAGCTGACGTTCAGTGTTGCTGCCGGGCCCCATTAGGCAGTGGGGACCAATGCCACAGAGTGGACCTGGGAGTGCCTTTTGGGGTAAAGGAGACACAGCCGAGACTTCCCATCTCTTCTCCATGGGTCAAGTAGCCAGGATGCAACAGGCAGGGGAGGCGGCGTCTTTGGAGGCTCAGAGGGAGTGCACCTCCAGTTGGCTGGTGGTGGGCACCTATCTGAGGGGATGGTGGTGGTGACAGTAGTTGTCAATTGAACCCTTCTGTGTGCTGGACTCTGCTAAGCACTTTCTGTTTTTGTTTTGTTTTGTTTTGTTTTGTTTTTGTTTTTTGAGACGAAGTCTCGCTCTGTTGCCAGGCTGGAGTGCAGTGCCGTAATCTCAGTTCACTGCAACCAGGGGAGGGAGGTCAGAGCAGGGGAGAGGCTCAGAAGAGCTGGGCAGGGGGCACCAAAGGGCTGCAGGCGGTATATGGACCCCTCACCAAATTGCCTTTCTCTTCAGGTCCCCTGGCACCACAGTTACTGGAGGTTATCAGCAGGGGTGGCCCCTCTGACCTGGCCATTGACTGGGCCCCAGCACCAGGACAGCGGGAAGGCTACAGGGTCGCTTGGCACTAGGAGGGCAGCCAGAGGTCACTGGGCGGTCTTGTTGACTTGGGCCCGGACAATTCCAGCCTGACTTTGAGGAGTCTGGTGCCCAGCTCCTGCTGTGCCGTGTCAGTGTGGGCCTGGGCGGGGAACCTTAACTCCAGCATTCAGAAGATCCACACCTGTACTTGTGAGTTCCTGGCTGCAGCCTGTGGGAGGCCAGCCCCAGGTGGTGGACTGGGGGACTGGCATCCTCTACTCTGCACTTCTATGTGCCATATTCTTTTTTTTTTTTTTTTTTTTTGAGATGAATCTCGCTGTGTTACCCAGGCTGGAGTGCAGTGGCGGGATCTCAGCACAATGTAACCTTCAACCCCTGGGTTCAAGTGATTCTCCTGCCTCAACCTCCTGAGTAGCTGGAATTATAGGCGCCCGCCACCTTGCCTGGCTAATTTTTGTATTTTTATTTTATTTAATTTTTTTTTAGTAGAGATGGAGTTTCACCATGTTGGCTAGGCTGGTCTTGAACTTCTGACCTCAAACAGTCTGTTCACCTTGGCCTCCCAAAGTGCTGGGATTACAGGCGTGAGCCACTGTGGCTGAACTGTGTGCCATGTATTTTTTTTTTCCCAAGATGGAGGCTTGCTCTGTCACCCAGGCTGGAGTGCAGTGGCGTGATCTCGGCTCACTGCAACCTCCACCTCCAGGGTTCAAGCAGTTCTCCTGCCTCAGCCTCCCAGGTAGCTGGGATTACAGGTGCCTGCTACCACACCTGGCTAATTTTTGTATTTTTAGTAGAGACGGGGTTTCACCATGTTGGCCAGGCTGGTCTTGAAGTCCTGGCCTCATGATCTGCCCACTTCGGCCTCCCAAAGTGCTGGGATTACAGGCATGAGCTACTGCGCCTGGCCTTGTGTGCCATATTCTTGACTCAGAAGGCCATAAGTACAAGATGAGACTTTTCATGAATCTATCTGCAAGCAATTTCTACCTCCTTCCATCTGGTTAGCTATATACCCACCATCTATCCACCATCTATCCACCGTCCATCCATCCATCTATCCATCCACCATCCATCCATCCATCCCACAATTATTTAATGAATGACTGTCATTTTCTTGGCATGAAACCAGTTGCTGAGGCCAAAATGATGAATAGTCCTCAGTGCCTCAGGAAGATAAGTAAGCAGATGGCTTACTTTATATATCATAATACCTGTTAATGCACTAATTGGAATGTGCATAATGTATTAGCTTGAACTCGATGAAACTCCATTCCTATTGGTTAAAATGGCTGCATCTCAGGAATTTTATGTGGTTCAGTCTAATCTTTTAGGACTCACAGAAGGGACATCTGCTTAAAAAGTCAGAGGAGGTTTCCCGGAGAAGAGTGAGCTGAGTGAGAGCAAGCTGGTGGGGGACAGGGTGGGGTCCTGCCCAGAGGCATCTGCTGGGGCTGGGGAGGATGGGTAGAGAGGACCTTAGCAGGAGGCTAAGCGTGCACCAAAGTCCACAGGCCAGAGATAGACTGAACCGGAACTGAACGTCAGCAGGTGAGCTGGAGACTGGGGCCCTCAGAGGTGTGAGGGTTGGCGCCATGCCCTCAAAGGGCAGACAGGGAGGAAGCGGGGCAGCAGGTGTCTGGGCAAGCATCTGTCTAAGAGGGTTTCCTGGGAAGGAAAGGAGGGTGGCCTTTGAGCCCTGTGGAAGCGGGGGTTTTAGGTGGGGAGTGCTGGGAGCTTGCCTGGGGACTGAGGAGATGGGTGTAGCTCATGGGGGGAGAGGCAGGGGATTCGGGTGACTCCACATCTATTTCTCCCTTGTCCTTCCTCCAGTCCCTGCTCCTCCTGCCAACTTGAGCCTGAACCTTGCCATCCAGCCTCCTGCCCTGAGGGCTTCCTGGAGTCCCCCATCAGTGGGGAGGGAGGACTTCCAGGCGCAGCTTTATAGCCTGAGGCCTCTGACTCTGGAAAGGGAGGAGACTCTGGCTGTAGAGGTCCAGAACTTCTCGTGGGCCTAGCTGTCTCCGGGCACCGAGTTCCTGGTGCAGCTGGTCACCCTGCAGCATCACCAACGCCACAGGCTGGACATGTGAGTGCCGTCTGATGGCCCTCCCCTACCGTGCTCCTTGGATTCCCAGGGAGCTGCATGTCCCCTTGGCCTCTGTGGTCTTCAGGCAGGCAGCTGGGCTGATGGTGGGGCAAGTACCAGCTTAGGGTTGTTCCCTCAGTCCCTAGGCACCAGGTAACCCCACTCCCCTCACTGGGACTCCCCCAGGGCCCTGGCCCTTTAGGCCTTCTAGAAGGTGGGCAGACCCTTCTTAGAAGGGGTTTGCTGACTTGTATAGTGGCCCTGGGCATGACATTCCTCATGCTCTCTCATGGCTGGCAGTAGGGAGGTGAGTGATAGTGGGCCACAAGTGGTTAATCATAACAATAGCAAGGCCGGGCTCGGTGGCTCATGCCTGTAATCCCAGCACTTTGGGAGGCCAAGGCGGGTGGGTCACTTGAGGTCAGGAGTTCGAGACCAGCCTGGCCAACATGGTAAAACCCCATCTCTACTAAAAATACAAAAATTAGCTTGAGGTAGAGGTTGCAGAGCCGAGATCGCACCACTGTACTCCAGCCTGGGTGACAGAGTGAGACCACTTCTCTCAAAAAAAAAAAAAAAAAAAAAAATCATAACAGCAATGGCTAGCGTTTACTGGGCACTCAGCCAGGTCTTCTACCTGTGTGCCCTCATTAAGTCTCATAACACCAAGCCTAGGAAGTAGTTACTGTGGTTTTCTCCATTTCACAGATGAGGCAACTGAGGCAGAGAAACAGAAAATAACTTGTGCCAGGTTCCTCAGCACAGTGGGGAGTTGGGATTCAAGCAGGCAGTGTGACCAGCTCCATGCTCCTTGCCTTTACTGAAGTGCAGGACACGTGGGGAGATTTTCTCCTCCCCGGAAGCCCTGGGGGCCCATAGAGTTGGGTTGGGAATCCCCTCCCATGTGGCCTGGGTCCTCCCGCTCTTTCTGCCTGTGGAGCCCTTGGTGGAGCTGAGGGACAGATGGACCTCCCCACCCTCAGCGCATCCGTCTCCAATGTGGTGGCTCCTTCCACCCCTGCCCTAGGTCTCCCCTCCCAGCCTCCTCCTGCCCCTGTCACTGTTGTCTGGATCCTGCCTGGAGTAAAGACTAGGAGGGAGCTGGGAAGAGGTCACCCTGGGAGTCAGGAGACCTGGGTTCTAGCTGGGACTCAGCCCCTAGAGCAAACCTTGGCCCTCTTAGAGCCTCAGTGTCCCCATTTATAAAGAAGTGTTGACTTTTGGGCCAGGCTTGTGTGGCTCCTGAGTTCCAGTGAGTTCAAGCTCTGGGGGTGGAGGGATGCTGCCTGGACCTCCAGATACCTGCCTGTTCATCCTCGTAAGGGTCTTTTTTTTGAAACGAAGTCTCCCTCTGCCTACCAGGCTGGAGTGCAGTGGTGTGATCTCGACTCACTGCAACCTCTGCCTCCCAGGTTCAAGTCATTTTCCTGCCTCAGCCTCTGGAGTAGCTGGGATTACAGGCCCCTGCCACCATGTGCGGCAAAGTTTTGTATTTTTAGTAGAGTTGGGGTTTCGCCACATTGGCCAGGCTGGTCTCGAACTCCTGACCTCAAGTGATCCACCTGCCTCGGCCTCCCAAGGTGCTGGGATTATAGGCGTGAGCCACCACACCTGGCTGCACATAAGGGTCTTTTTTTTTTTTGAGCTGGAGTCTTACTCTGTTGCCCAGGAGGCTGGAGTGTAGTGGCACAATCTCGGCTCACTGCAACCTCTGCCTCTGGGTTCAAGCAATTCTCCTGCCTCAGCCTCCCGAGTATTTGGGATTACAGGCGCCCACCACCATGCCCAGCTAATTTTTGTATTTTCAGTAGAGACAGGTTTCACCATGTTGGCCAGGCTGGTCTCGAGCTCCTGACCTCAGGTGATCCACCTGCCTAGACCTCCCAAAGTGCTGGGATTATAGGCATGAGCCACCGCACTCGGCCATAAGGGTCTTTAAAAGCTACTTTGTGCAGGGGCTGGGAGAAGGGACACGGTTTAACACTCATGCTGCCCAGCCTAGCTCTGCCTTGAGAGCGGTGGGAGTGTGGTGAGAGTAAGTGATTAGTTCATCTGTTCAACTCAGGCTTAGCCTGGACTCTGCTGCCTGGGGTCAGTGGCGGGCCCTGCTTTCCAGTGGAATCCTGGGCTCACTGGATGCCCTGAAATGGTGTCTCTAGCTCCTGGGTGTTTATTGATAGGGCCAAGGATGGAGGGAGAAATTGGGGATCTTTGGGGAGGAGGAGCCAGAGATTTAGTGTAGATCTTTTCTCCCTTTTCTCTACACCCTCCATATCTTGCTCTCCTCGCAGGCCTGCTTGCCCCTCCTCTGGTAAATGTGATGAGTGAAGGTCCCACCCAGCTCTGGGCTTCCTGGGTTCATGCCCCCAGGGGCTGAGACGGCTACCAGGTGACCCTGTACCAGGCAGGCACCCAGGCAAGCACCATCACTGTGGGAGCCAAGGTGGCCAGCACAAGCTTTTTGAGTCTGACTCCAGGCACAAAGTACGAGGTGGAGGTTGTCACGTAGGGTGGGCCCCTCCACACTGCAGCAGCCAACACCTCTGGCTGGACCCGTGAGGCATGGGGAAGGCAGAGATGCAGGAGAGGTGAGCAAGGCTGCCTCAGAGAGCCCTGGGTCTTCCCTCAGTGGTGCCCCCTTTAGCCCATTTTCCATCTCCACACCTCAGGGCCCTGCAGGGGTCAACAGGCCCATGGCATCAAGCATGGGACTCTGGGGAGTGGGGCTGGTGGCCTGGCTGACTGTTCTCCCTCCCTCTTTCCCTCCCTCTGTAGCCCTGCGCCCACCCAGTGAATTGTTGGTGTCCAGCCATGCAAGCACCACTGTGGTCAGCCTGGCCTGGGTCAGCGGCCCCTTGGGGGTACACAGTCTCGGAACAAGAAGGGGATCCCAACTCTCAGAGGCGGGGCACCTCTCCTGGGAGCACCCCCTGGTGCCAGGTCAAGCTCACCTCATCCTGAGGGGCCTCATACCTGGATGCAACCTCTCCCTGTCAGTGCTGTGCCAGGCGGGGCCGCTGCAGGCGTCCACTCACCGCGTGGTGCTGCTTGTTGGTATGCTGACGTCAGCAGTGGGAGGATGAAGGTGCCCGGAGATGCAGGTCCGATCCGGGCGGCAGCCCACTGCCTGCTCGGCTCTGAGCCACTGCTCTCTCCAGATGGATGCTGCACCCACTCTGCTCTGGGTTATGCCCCTCATGCTTCTCCAGGTGGGCAGTCATGTCCAAAGGAGATGTTTTTCCGCCTGGCAGAGAC